TTTGGAAGACTTCTTCATTACAGCCAATGCGCTTCCCAGGCAACCTGACCTCTGCAAAGAAAGAAAATACGAAACAATAAATAAAAAGATGCAAGCAGCATAACATTGAGCCTGTTAGAGCATATTTTATGATCCTATATTCTCTCTTATCTCATAGGTGGATAATTAAGGACTGTAACCATCTACTTATGAGAATCTATATTCACTAGAAACTAAACTAGAAAGCAACACATGGTCCCATTTCACAAATACAAGCTTGATCACTAAGAGGTCTATGTTGAACCCCATTTACTCATTCAAGCAAATACGATTATCTAGGGAAAAAAAGCATGAGATTTTGAGATTAAGTTAGGTACCTGAGCCAGAATCCATCCCACAAGCCAATCAATATCACTTCGGTGATTACAAACAACAAGTGCATGTTCTTTACCTGGATGAAAAGTATAGAAACCGTCACTCTGAAGCTATAAAAATCTTTCATATATATGACTTTTATATTATGATGCTCAATAAACAGGAACTTACCCATTCGATTGAAGGTCTCATTATCAGCAAACACTTGGATCTAGGGCAAAAGATAAGGAAGTTTCAGAAGATGGTCATAAAAATAATCAATTCCTTGACTTATATAAGCTACCTTAACAATGATAATACGCAGGCACAGTTCTGCTTCCTAATCATTTCACTAAAAAAAGGGCAAAGAAGATACCTTTACACCTGCCCACCAGTCAACAATCCAAACAAGCTCCAACCACAAGGTTTCAGCAACCACCCGGTTGACTTTTCTGTACGTGTTCTTAGACAGAGGTCGAATCAAAACATAGCAAACTGCCTGAAAAATAACAAAACAAAAAAGTTCCAACCTTCAAACAAAGTTCAGAGACAAGGCTAAAAGACAGTTAAGACATGAAAGTCCCTTCCTTCCCCAACCCCAAAACCTATAAACTCATGTCGGAGAACGGACTGAGACAAACATTCTCTCTAAGTCTAGTTGAAAATCAACATAAAGGAAGGAACTTGATAAACTTCAAAACCACCAAAACTAAACAAATAATACTCTTATGGTAAGTCCAGGAAGCTACACATATGTATTAGTCTCTCTCTCTCTCTCACACACACACAGACACTCAAATCTTAACAGAACCGACAAATACATGAACTAGGACCTGTATTAAGCAGACATGAAACCCTAATAACAGTGAACCAATAAGGAGAAGAGGAGATCTACAAACGCAAACGGAATCTTGAAAAAGGTTTCGACTTTAGGGAAACCCACCTGAAGGAGATTGACAAAGAGACCAGAAATGAAGAAGAGAATGCCTAAAGGCACAATCACAGCTGCTGCCATCGCCATGGGAATAAACACCAAAGAAGCTAATTTTATTTTATTTTTTTTCTCACTAAATGATTAAACACCAAAACTCGTTCACCAGATTCAACAAAGGACAACTTTTTTTTGCAGATGGATTTTAAAAGAGGGAAATTTAATTACCCAACCAGAAACAAATCGCAATATTAACTTCTTTTTTTTGTTGCGATTTTAATGTTTTTTTTCCGATACAGATAGAAAATTGGGGAGCGATTGAATTTTTGTTTTTCTTTTTATCAGTGTTATGAGCCTATAAGGAGATGATCACGAGGACACGGCATGGGCGTTTCTCTCGTTTTTTTCATTCTAGCCCCTAGACTCCTTTTTATTATTTAAAATGTCCATTTTATCTCTTTATAAATCAGTTAGGTCAACAAACTTTCTATCTCATCCATTCTAAAATATGAATATGAGCATATCTATCAAATAAACTTTTTTGAAAAAATGACTAGAATAGATCTAAAAAAGTTTTTATCACAAATATAGACCTTAACAATTAAAATGATCAAAATAACACTTAAATGTTTTATTAAATATATATTTATACCACTTGGGTTAACTAATCCTATATTTTTTTGTTTAGAATTGAGGAGTGGAGTTTTGAGGATAGGGTTTCGAATTTAAAAAAATTAATAAAAATTAAAATTTTCAAAATAAAAAGTGCTATTTTGGTCATTTTAATTGTTGAGGTCTATTTTTGTGATAAAAACTTAAAAGAGGGCTATTTTAGAGAATTACCCAACTTTTTAAGGTTTTTCTATTTTTTAAAAATTAAAATCATATCTTCAAAAATCAATTCCTCAACTCTAAAAAAATCTAAAATTAGTTAAATCAAAGGATATAAGTGTATATTTACTTATTTTTTATATAATATTTAAGTCTATTTTGGTCATTTTTATTTTTAAAATCTATATTTTTGACAAATTCCTCAACTTTAAAAAGGTCTAAAATTAGTTAAATCAAAAGGGTATAAGTGTATATTTACTTATTTTGTATATAACATTTAAGTCTATTTTGGTCATTTTTATTTTTAAAGTCTATATTTGTGACAAATTCCTCAACTCTAAAAAAATGTCTAAATCTATACTATTATTTGCGAAGTGATTTTTCGCAACGGAGCTCTCACGTTAAAAGTTGGAGTGGCTAATATCGTTTATACCCTTAATGAATAAATGATATACATTAGCTAAAATATAAAAACGAATTTACTATTTATTTTACTAAATTATTTGTTAAAATTAATAACAAGAATAGTTATTAAAAATCTAAAAGATAGATTTTATTTTAAAAATATAATTCTTATACATATTGTGTTGTTATCCAAAAATATTTAAAAAAATTCAAAAAGCCATAAACAGAAAATACATAAATTAATATTAATAAACAATTCTTAATTTTATATTTGAAAAATAATATTGAATTATTATTTTTTATTTATTTACTTATAATCTATACATTAAAATATGTTTTCAAAAAGCATTATATAGCATATAAGAATTTTTCTAATGAAAAAACACTTCGCAAATAATAGTATAGATAAATAATTATAAAACTGTTAAACCCGCATGTGCGGGTAAAACACCTAGTTTAGTTAAATCAAATAGTATAAGTGTATATTTACTTATTTTTTATATGACATTTAAGTCTATTTTGGTCATTTTTATTTTTAATATCTATATCTGTGACAAAAAAATTAGGTCTATCCTAAAAAAAATTCTATGAATATTAATTCTTTTTTAAATATGCTCAATTGCTTATTATGTTTTTAAAACCTTGAAGATAAATTAACATCCAAAGATATAGGGTACAATGCTTTTGTGAGATACAAAGCCAGCAAGAATCAAGTTCTTCCTGGAAGGAAGCCCTATCATATAGGGAGCCAACATATAAACCTAACTAGTTGGAATTATGGAGGAGTTAGTTAGTTTCCTATGTTTCCTTTTGCATGTGTTAAAAATGTTATGTTTGTGTTTATTTATTTATTATTAATGCAAAGATTACATTCGGGTATTTTAAATCAAGATGTATCGAAAGCAAGATTTTATTCCAGTCGAATTAAGACCATACGTGTTACGACCATTATATGTAGTTAAGATACTTGTTCGCAACAATTCTCCAAGCATATTATGCTTTTCAGACAAACTTTGCCAACGTTATTAATTTATTAACACAACAAAAGTCCCAAATATGAAACCCACCCACAATATATTTATTTTTTTTATCTTTGTAAACACTCAACACTCTAGATTGAAATTCATAGAATGTTAATCAAGTAAAAGACATACTTTCTAAACTTCTTATTTGTTTGGCGATGCATATGTTTTCTCATATGCACTATTGTGGATGTTACGTCGTTCACTTACATCCGTATGTTATCAATTTTCTAGTTCACTTATTAGTGAAATTCATTTATTTGATTGTTTCTATTCACATAATTGGGCATGGTCCTGATTGTTTGGTGCGGTGTAAGGTGTGAGAATCTTTTGTGGTTTTGTAGAAATTGAATGAGACTTAATACGGTTGATTCTTGATTATTATTCAAAGTTGTTTTAATTAAAGTTCAAATATGTTTTAATAATATAGAGTTTGAAGGTAGAAAGGAATATTGTTGAGGTGGTTGATCTATCAAACCTAATTTTCTTTTTATATATAAACAAATCAAAAATCAAAACAAAGTAAAGAATAAGAAAATAAATTGATCTTAATGATAATTTATTTCTAGATGCATTTTGTTCACCGCTTTATTAATAGTCTCCAATATTTTTTTTTTTTTTTGCGAGAAAGGGGAAATATAGCTACTTTGACAAAAAAGGGAAAATATAACTAAAGAACAAGAAGAGTGGTTGAGTTTCGTTAGCATTAACTTTCTTATGTAAGATCCTTTGTCTTAATTCATGTCGCATAGTCACATGCATGCATGTTCTCTATAAGTGATTTTTTGTGAATGTAGAATATATTATTGTTGAACCTGAAATGTTAGTCGTTCAAAAAAAAAAAAGAACCTGAAATGTTAATGCGTCAAGGAAGATTGTTACTTCTGTGATACATCTCACTTTTCAAACAAGAAACTTCAAATTCTTTGACGAATGATAATTTATACAATCTGTTATATATGATATATCTAAAGCATAGATTGTATAGTTGTTAGTCGTTGGTCGAACAAGCTAGGATGATGTGTCAAACTATCAAAAACGATTTCACCATTTAAAGTTTCTAACCATACGTTTTTTTTTTTTTTTTTTTTTTGAGAATTTCTAACCATGTGTTACCTTCTCCATAAAGATATATAGTATTAAACTGGTATACGTGTCGTGCAGCGGCTATATGTCACCAGAATGTGCAATGGGAGGACTGTTCTTAGAGAAGTCAGATGTTTTCAGCTTAGGAGTGATACTCTTAGAGATTGTCAGTAGAAGAAGAAACTCAATTCAACTCTTTTAGCTTATATTGTAAGTCTCTCTTAGAAACAAAACATATGTTTACTGGAGAAACCGTTGTAAAGCTGGCCAGAGAATAAATCATCTATCTTTATAGATGCTCAAGGTCTCAAACATGTAGTAATTTAAAAGTGCTTATTTTAATATAACAATTGTACAACATTAAAATATGTTAATCCAAAAATCCCCATCTCTTAAGCTTTTGCTGGTCGTATAGGAGAAAGTTCAATGGATGCACTTTCATGTTCAGCAGAACGATGTGTGGAAGATTCAGCTACTTGGTGTTGAGACTCGGGATCATAAAACTGGTGGTGGTTGTTGGAATTGTGAAGGAGATGGATCAGAGATGAGCCATGAGTTGGTGTGTTTGATTCAGAGTGTCTTCCCTGTTGTTGTGTCTCTTTATGTGCTGTGTGATGCCACTTCTTTAGCATCTTGGCTACTCTTTGGTTGAATACCGTTGGCTTCATCCTAGTACCCATCTACACACATTTCATCAACACAAAATGTCAAGAAAAGAAAAAACAAACATCATCATGTATTATTGGTCTCACTGAAAATTATGTTGTTTTATTACCTGAATTACAAGAGCATAGAGTGGAAGAGTTACATAGCTGCAAAGTATCTGTACAACAAGTCTGCATGTTTGTGATTTTCGTCAGTTAAATAACGGTTTTTTCCCGCGTATTCTTTGGACCAATAGTCAAGTTAATTGTTAGCTTACCCAACAAAAATTCTTATGGCTATATCTTGAGGTCTTTTGTGGAAACAATTACTGAAACCGAATTCATACTGCAGATACCAAAAATTCATGATAAAAAAAAAAATCAGTATTGCCTCAAAAAATAATTGAAAAAGGTGAAATGGATATTTCTTACCGAACTCCATGCAAAGAAAGCAAGTTGAAATGCATTCTGCAAAGTGAATATAATTTTTTAGTACTCATAGGTTTATTATCAATACCTTTAGGCTTTAGCAGAAAGAGTAATTAATTGAATTGTACCGTGAAAAGAACCAATTGGATAAGGAAAAGCATGACGCCAGGGTTGTCAAACCAGAAGAGATCATCACCAGGCTGAACCAGAGGGCAGCCTCTCACAACATCACCTTTCTCTAGGATTCTTAGACCCAATTTGGTTATAATGACTTGAAGCTTTGTTCCAACTATTAGAACCACCTGTAGATTACATTCATTCTGTTTAAAAAGAAAGGCTGCAAGTGGAAAAAAATCTAAGAACCGTCTTTCGGTTGTGTTGTACTTACAATCAGAGGAATGAATGGTAACCAGAGGTAAGAATGTAGTCCTGTTTCAAATGAAAACCGATGTCAGTTTTTTGTGATGCAGTTTGATTGGTAAGCAATGAGTGTTACCATTTGAGTTGGTCAAGAGGAATAGCACGGTTACAAACCAGATAACTGGACTGCATAAAGTTAAATAGCAAAGATTTAGATAAATTTTCCAAGTTGGATTATAAATAGTAATCAAGTAGATAGATTCAAACCTGATTTCGACAACAGTTTTGAAGTCTGTTTCTAATGATCTCTGAATATAGTTGAGGAAACCATATGGCATTTCTTCGCTCCCCCATGAGAATGCGCCTAAACAAAAAAAGAGTAAGGTATACCATTTATAATCCCTTCCAACTTTCGAGACACGAGACATTGTTCCTAATCAGTAGAGCATTTTCTCCAGAGATAACAGTTTGAAGTATTATAGCTGACTTTGTTATGTTGGTAAGTGACAGTTGTATTATAAAAAGTGTATAATACAGAGTAGAAGCTTTAGCTGGTGGTGATAAAGCAAAGTTGAAAGAGCTACCATTGTTTGAGTTTCAAGTATTGGTTGCAGCAACCAATAACTTCTCTCAGAAATTGCAGTATGTTTTATAAATGGCCCAGAAACAAGTTTCTTGCTTTAGGCCCAACTTCGCATAGGGCCTTACGGAAAGCACTTGTGTAATTTGTCTTTTTGTGATTTTTTTTCTCTACTTGGGTTTGTTTCTGAACTAGATAGGCTGGAATCATGTTTTTTATTGTGACTTGTTTGATAACAATGTGTTAACAGAATGCATAATATTATATTTTTGTTCAACCTTTTTTAAAAAAAATTAACAGTCATAAGTCATTACTTATTAGAATTTGATAAATTATATATATATATATATATATATATATATCTAAATCTGTTGCATTACAGCTCTTGCAAATGAAATAAGTGGCCTTCTCTTATTGGTATATCAACAAAACTAGCATTAAAATAAACAATATCTGAAGTTCAACGAAAATATAAAAAAAATTGGAGAAAAAAGAGATAAAACATAAAAATTTAGAATATTCAAAGGAAAAAAAAAAGACTTTTAATTTTGCGGTCTTCACTAAGATCACAACCAATGATAAAGCGATACGTTAATCAGTTAGCTAACTCACGTGAGTATTAGTTGTCAATTATTACTGAAAAGATGCTCGAAAAAGCAAAACTCTTTGCTATTACAGGGGGTTAAACTGGTAAATCACCCAATTGTCCGTTAGAGGCGTGCGTCACCCACTACGGTCTTTCTCAGACAACGAAACGATGATTAAAAAAAGATTGGAGTGACATATTTACCGTTTTGCCCACAGCCGTCAGCGCCTCTATTCCAGAATTATTCATTCGACAGAACACTTTATTATAAAACAAAAAAACTCGGTTCATCTTTTAATCACCGTTACATGTTTAATTAAAATTTGACTTGGTTTTGTTTAAGGTTTAATAAATTCGATGACGTACCGAAAAAATAATTAAAGAACCCATTTAATGAAACCATTACAGGGAAAATGTAATTAATTTAATTCAAAGGAGATGAAGCATGACGGACACGACGACCAATTCCATTAAATTTTTGTTTTGACTTGACTTGGTTTTGTTTGGAAAACCGGTTCCAATCGGTTAAACAAACCACTACTGAGAGAATCCGGTTAATGAAACCATTACAAATGAAAATGTAATTAATTTAATTCAAAGGAGATGAAACATGACGGACACGACGACCAATCCAACAAATTTTTGTTTTGACTTGACTTGGTTTTGTTTGAAAAACCGGTTCGAATCGGTTAAAGAAATCATTACGGAGAAAGTCGGTGAATTAAGAAAAATAATTTATTTATTGTCAAAGGAGCACCCGCAGACCAGTTCCATAATCAATCTTATATGATTTGACTTGGTTTAGTTTGTTAAAACCCGGTTTGAATCGGTTTAGTCAAATTATTATGTAAATGTTTATTTATTTATTTATTTTCTAAATGTTTATAAAATTAATTAAATTATTTATTTTGTAAATGTTTATGTTACATGCTAAAAAATATTTCTATTAAAATACAAACTTGTATACATATAATTTTTCTATTGTTTATTTGTATTAAATATTATAAATGTATGAATAATCATTTGTTTTAATTGTTGTTGAACCAATAATATATTTAATTAAAATTATTATGGCTGTGCTGACAAAACACCTAGTTAATTATTGTCAAAAGAGCACACCACTTCCATTATCAATTTTTTTTTTATAACTTGACTTGTTTTAGTTTGTTAAAACCGGTTTGAATCGGTTAAGGCAAATCATTACGGGATGAATTAGGCAAATTAATTAAGTTTTATTCAAAGAAGAGGGAAGAACATGACGCACACGACGACCACTTCCATAATCAATTCCTTTTCTTCGTCTCCCTTCTGGGGCCAACCAGCAAGAGATCCCCATGGCCATCTCTCTCTCTAATAATTAGAAATCTCCAAAACAAATCACTATTCTAAATCATAATTGATCATTTATTTTTAAAAACCTCTCTGTAATTATTATTATGATATAAATAAATCCTCCATTGTTGAGTTTAGTTTGTAAACCCCATGAGCTGTTGGTGAGTTTTTTTTTCTCTCTCTCATTCCTTTTTTCTTACAACAATGTTCTGTCTTGTTTTTGGATCTTGTTAATGTATATTCTCTTGTGTTTTGTCTGTTTCAATGTTTTAAATTATTAGTGTTCTCTGCATTTTCTGGTTAATGGTTTATTGGGTCAAAGCTTGCATTTTTAATTTATGTTTGGTAATAAAGGCGCTGACTTGTGATTATATTGTTATTGCAAAACCTTCTGGGTTACCTCTCCCTTGTTTCTGCTCTGTCTCTGTAATAATCCATTTTATTTAATTATACATATATTGTATATTGTCCTGAATTTATGTTTCTTGAGGAATTAATCATGTTTTTATTTGTGATTTAGGTGGTCAAGTTTGAGAAAAGTTGAGAAATTTGGATTAGACCATGTTATCTAACCAGAAATGGAAGTGTACATGGTCTCAAATAGCCACACTTGCTTCTGTGATTGTTCTGGTGTCATTAGTTCATCTCTTTCTTGGACCTGTGGTGCCTTCTTTTGATACAATTAGTGTAAGACAAGCTCAGAGTCTTTGTGGACCGGTTAATGAATCAATCACGCAAGTGACTAAGGACTCAAGTGAACCGGTTCTTGCTGTTGCCTTTGATCGTCGGTTTCCTGCTGATTTACATGGAGCTGTAGTGTATAGAAATGCCTCGTGGAAAAGTGAGATTGGGCAATGGCTTTCTGGTTGTGATGCAGTTGTCAAAGAAGTTGACATCGTTGAAGTAAGTATTAATGTTTTTGGTATATACTTGAAACAGTTATGTTGTTAAGTTTGTGTTTTTTTTTGGGCAGCCAATTGGTGGGAGGAAGTGTTTGAATGATTGTAGTGGTCAAGGTGTTTGTAACCATGAGTTTGGTATTTGCCGTTGCTTCCATGGATTTATTGGTTAGTACTTAATGGTATTTGATCTCTTCAGAATAATTGACATTGATGTTTAAATGAAGTTAATTTTGGCCGGTTTTGTGTAGGTGAAGATTGTTCACAAAAGCAGGAGTTAGTTTGCAACTATGAGAAAACACCTGAGATGCCATATGGTAGATGGGTTGTTTCCATTTGTTCTAGACATTGTGATACCACAAGAGCCATGTGCTTTTGTGGAGAAGGCACCAAATATCCAAATCGTCCAGCTCCAGAGTCATGTGGATTTCAAATCAAGTAAGTGTGTTCACCTGATTCTTTTCTTCTTGAGTGACCAAGTTTGAAGATGATATCTAACATTAACATACATGTCTGTAGTTCGCCTGTGAAACCTGGAGAACCTAAAATGACGGATTGGTCTAAACCAGACTTAGACATTTTAACAACAAATAGTAGCAAACAAGGATGGTGCAATGTGGATCCAGAAGATGCATATGCTATGAAGGTGAAAATCAAAGAGGAGTGTGACTGTAAATATGATTGTCTTTGGGGACGGTTCTGTGAAGTGCCTGTTCAATGCACTTGTGTTAATCAGTGCTCTGGACATGGCAAATGCAGAGGAGGTTTCTGTCAGGTGATATACTGTAGCCACTGTCATAAGCTTTGCATATTCGTAATCTAAATCTTTTTAACTTTGTGTGTGTGTTATATTAGTGTGATAAAGGCTGGTTTGGAACAGACTGTAGTATTCCATCCACTCTATCGTCGTTTGGAGAGTGGCCACAATGGCTTAGACCAGCACATCTCGAAGTTCCAAGTGATAAAGATGTCCCTGGAAACCTCATTAATCTAAGTGCTGTTGTGAAGAAAAAGAGGCCTCTTATATACATCTATGATCTACCTCCAGACTTCAACAGCTTACTTCTTGAGGTTACAATCCAAACTTTGCATATTTCTTCTCAACAAACTTAAATACGATTTTGTGATAGTCTTATTAATCTCATCTGATTGGAATTTGATGTTGCAGGGTCGACATTTTAAGCTTGAGTGTGTTAACAGGATCTATGATGACAGGAATGCAACAGTGTGGACAGATTATCTATATGGTTCCCAGGTTTCCTACTAACCTTGACTCAAATATTAGATAATCCAACATAGGCATGCTGGTTCGGTTAGTTCGGGTTATTCGGTTAGTTAGGTTCAGCATACATCTTACCGAATTAACCTGAAATAAAATTTAGTTCGGTATTTGGTTTGGGTTATAACTTTGCTTCCTGTAATTTTGGAAGATGGCATTCTATGAGAGCATTTTGGCAACTGGTCATCGTACACTGAATGGCGACGAGGCAGATTTCTTCTTTGTTCCTGTTCTTGATTCCTGCATTATAAACCGTGCTGATGATTCACCTCACCTTAGCATGCAGGTTGGGTCAAAAAACTCACTTTTGTTATTATTATCCTCTTGTAAAAACTCGAAAGAGCTTATATGTGTTTATTACTTGCAGAATCATACTGGGTTAAGAAGCTCACTTACCTTAGAGTTCTACAAAAGAGCTTATGAACACATAGTTGAGAAATATCCATACTGGAACCGCTCATCTGGGAGAGACCATATTTGGGTAATAATGATGATGCAAAAACATATAATTAGGATTGTTATCTCAAAGCTAATGTGGCTAAACTTATTACAGTTTTTCTCATGGGATGAAGGTGCTTGTTATGCTCCTAAAGAGATATGGAACAGCATGATGCTTGTTCATTGGGGTAACACAAACACTAAGCATAAAAATTCAACAACAGCTTATTGGGGTGATAACTGGAATGAGATATCTAAAGAGAGGAGAGGAGATCATCCTTGCTTTGACCCTAGTAAAGATCTCGTGCTTCCAGCTTGGAAAGTTCCTGATCCACACTCCATGCGTGCTAATTACTGGGATAGGTATATATACTTTCTGATGGTTCTTGAAGAATAGCTTAAAACTCAAACCCTGAAACTTGTTTTTCTTCCTCTTGTTTAGGCCACGAGAAAAGAGGAAAACATTGTTTTACTTTAATGGGAATCTTGGACCTGCTTATGAAAACGGAAGACCAGAAGATTCGTAAGTCTAATCATGTCAAAATCAATACGGAGAAACCAAGTGATGGATCACATGATCCACTTAGAAACTAGGGTTAGGGTTTTTGGTTGACTGTGTGACAAGGAAGGTTTCATTCCATATTTATTAGGGCTCAAGAGGACCTCTCATCGCAAAAGCATGAAATAATAAAAATATGGAATGGAGCTCAAGGCACTTGGCCAAACCTTTCTTGTCAAACAATCAATTTAAAACCCTAAACCCTAGTTTTTGAGTGGATTCAAACAGCATGGATATATAATGATTCGGTAACTATCTAATGCAGGTATAGCATGGGAATCAGGCAGAAGCTAGCTGAAGAGTTTGGCTCAAGCCCCAACAAAGAAGGGAAGCTAGGGAAGCAGCATGCAGAAGATGTCATTGTCACTCCATCGCGTTCTGACAACTACCACGACGACATAGCTTCTTCAATCTTCTGTGGTGTGTTCCCTGGAGATGGTTGGAGTGGTCGCATGGAAGATAGTATCTTACAAGGATGCGTCCCTGTCATCATTCAGGTAATATATACATATACTTTGAACTTACCACATTCCTAAACCTTAGGCTGTCTGATCTGAAGATGATGTTGTCTCTTTTATTAGGATGGAATCTACTTACCTTATGAGAACACGCTCAACTATGAGAGCTTTGCAGTTCGTGTCAGCGAAGATGACATTCCAAATCTCATAAACACTCTCCGAGTACTACTCTCTCTCTCACACAATCTTGTAACAATCTGCTCCTTCTCTTGACCTTACTTTCATTGTTTTTGTTCAAAGGGATTCAATGAGACAGAGATACAATTTAGACTGTCTAATGTAAAGAAGCTCTGGCAAAGATTCTTGTTCCGAGACTCGGTTTTGCTTGAAGCAGAGAGACAGAAAGCTAGTTATGGACATGAGGAAGACTGGGCTGTTCAGTTCTCGAAACTGAAACATGATGATGTCTTTGCTACTTTCATACAAACTCTGCATTACAAGCTACACAATGATCCATGGAGACGAGAACAAGTCGTGAACCGGACAAAAGATTACGGTTTGCCTCAAGAATGTCTCCTCCACAAGTAAATATCTCAGGAGCTGCAGAAGCATATATATATATACACCTATACTTGGAAGAATCATTCATATACACATTCTTTATGAAAAAAGGAATTATTAATCATATCATGTTTAGTTCTTTGGCTTCTTGCTTTGTGTTATTTATAGCTTAGACCGGTTTTTAGTCTCGGTTTAACCGAAATTCACTCCATAGTTCGGTTTAACTGATGACTAGAGAAATTATGAATTGTTCAATTGGGTTTCAGTTTAGTTGGTTGTGGAACCAATTTTGTATGGATCGGTTTGATTAAATATATTTGTTATACCATCAAAATCATACCTTATGTTTAATTCAGCTTAGTTCTTTGGATTCTTGCTTTGTGTTTTTATAGCTTAGACCAGTTTAGTCACGGTTTAACCAGAATTCACTCCATATTTCGGTTCAACTGATGATTCTAACTAGAAAATACTCTCTAATTTTATACAAGTATCATTTTTGTTACATAAAGAGTATTATTTCAAAATTTTAATGTAATTTATACTTACTTTTAATTTTATATTAATTGTAAAATATATTAATTTTATAAATATTCTTTTAACTCTACTGGTTACATAGATAGTAATTTTTTTGTTAGAATCATCAGTTGAACAAAACAAATAGATTTTTAATAATTTTCTTAATTTGTGTGAATTTTTCTTAAAATGGAGAGAGTATGAATATTTCAATTGGGTTTCGGTTTACTTGAATGTGGAACCAATTTTAAATGGATCAATTTGATTAAAAATCTATTTGTCAAACCCGGTTCGGTACAACTTTCTTGATTCAGAGAACTTACATCAAGCAGAGGGGCAAAACCGTCATTCTCACTTCACCTGAACACAGTTTGAAGTAAGTAAAGTACTCAAGTGTCCGCCGGCGAACCCTAAAAGACTCTCTCTCTCTCTCTCTCTCTCTCCTCAAAAACATGTCTCTCTCTTCTCTCTCTCTCGACACCAAGCCAAGATTCGTCGTAGGTGGCCCATTTAACGGCCGTTATCCTCCCCTCCACCACCCTCGTAGCTCCGTTTCCTACTCAGCTAAGCGCTCAGCTGTCTCAGCATCACTCAGCGTCGCAGCTGATTCAACAGAGTCTATCACACGGATTGAGTCACTGAGTCAAGTCTCAGGCGTGCTTGGTTGTCAGTGGGGAGATGAAGGCAAAGGGAAACTCGTTGACATTTTGGCTCAACACTTTGACATCGTTGCTCGTTGTCAGGTATAAAGTTTTTACATTTTTTTTAACTAATTAACAAAATTATTAAAAGGTTTAGTTTTTATCAATGTTGAAGAAATCAGTAGCTTTATAAGGGATTATTGATTAGGCTGATGATGTCTAAACCGATTTTTAAAAGTATAGTTCAAGATAAAATTGTGTTGATTTAGGTCTTGTTTTGTCAGAAACTTAACATTTTTACTCAGTAAAGATAAAGTTTTGGTTTTTGATTTGGAAGTTTGTAACTTTTGGTTAAAAGTTAACATTTTTACTGATGGGCAGAGATGAAGTTTCAGTTTTTATTTGAAAGTTTGTAGCTTTTGGTTAAAGTTAACATTTTTAACTAATCAGGTTTCAGTTTTTTTGATTTGAAAGTTTGTAACTTTTTGGTTAAAGATTACATAGTTAACTAATCAGCAAAGATTAAAGTTTTGGTTTTTGATTTGGAAGTTTGTAACATTTGGCTAAAGTTAACATTTTTAACTAATCAGCAAAGATAAAGTTTCAGTTTTTGATTTGAAAGTTTGTGACTTTTTGTTAGGGTGGAGCTAATGCTGGACACACTATATACAACTCAGAGGGAAAGAAATTTGCTCTTCACCTTGTGCCTTCAGGTATACTCAACGAAGACACAACTTGTGTAATAGGCAACGGTGTTGTTGTTCATTTACCAGGTCTCTTCAAAGAGATTGATGGTCTTGAATCCAACGGCGTCTCCTGCAAAGGAAGAATCTTAGTCTCAGACCGTGCTCATCTCTTGTTCGACTTCCATCAAGAAGTAGATGGACTCAGAGAATCAGAGCTTGCCAAGTCATTCATTGGCACTACCAAGAGAGGCATTGGTCCTTGCTACTCAAGTAAAGTGATAAGAAACGGTATCAGAGTTGGTGATTTAAGACACATGGATACTTTACCTCAGAAGCTTGAGGTTTTGTTAGCTGATGCAGCTGCTAGGTTTCCAGGGTTTAAGTTTACTCAAGAGATGCTTAGGGAAGAAGTTGAAGCTTATAAGAGATATGCTGAGAGATTAGAGCCTTACATTACTGATACGGTTCATTTCATGAATGATGCTATTTATGGGAAGAAGAAGAAGGTTTTGGTTGAAGGTGGTCAAGCTACTATGTTGGATATTGACTTTGGTACTTATCCTTTTGTTACTTCTTCTAGTCCATCTGCTGGTGGGATCTGTACTGGTCTTGGTATTGCTCCAAGAGCTGTTGGTGATCTCATTGGTGTGGTAAGTGTAATACTCACTCATAAAACTTGTTTTCTTGCATTGATGTTGTAATCAATGTTCAAGAAATTGCTAGGCGGTAATTACGCGTTTTTATAGTAGATTATTGTTTAAGCAGGCGCCTAAACCGGTTTTTAAATTAAAACTCTTTCGCTTATACCCGATTTGCCGCCTAGTGGCTAAGTCGCCTTCTTAGAACACTGATATTGTTAATAGAGTATAACCTCTTAAAATTAATATACATTAAAAATCTTTATCAAATAATATAATTTTGTAGTCCCAAATTGAGTTTTAGTTCAATTAGTATATCGATAAATTAATATAAAATTATAGTTTTGATCCTAACATTATTAATTTATAGAGGTTTCACATGTGAATTACAATTTGAGAACATACAATATGAGTAATGAAAATAGATATGAAAGCATTGTGACGATCTTGTGTGTTTGTTAGGTGAAAGCATACACTACAAGAGTTGGTTCAGGACCATTCCCAACAGAGAATTTGGGAACAGGTGGTGACCTTCTTAGGTTAGCAGGACAAGAGTTTGGCACTACAACAGGTCGCCCTCGTCGTTGTGGATGGCTTGACCTTGTTGCCCTGAAGTTCTCTTGCCAAATCAATGGGTTTGCATCGCTCAATCTCACTAAGCTCGATGTGCTTTCTGACCTGAATGAGATTCAGCTTGGTGTGGCTTACAAGAAGAGTGATGGCACTCGTGTTGATTCTTTCCCTGGTGATCTTCGTCTCCTTGAAGAACTAGAAGTAAGTGTTGTTCTCTTACATAAGTTTAAGTGAGTCCTATAATGGATAGGGCAACTTCTCTTGCTATTATTAATCTTGTAGGAACATCATTTGCTGTCACTTGTTCTTGTAATAACTCTGTTAAACCGTGAAAAATGTGTGTAGGTTGAGTATGAAACCTTACCTGGATGGAACACTGACATATCCTCTGTCAGAAACTACGCTGATCTTCCAAAGGCTGCACAACAATACGTTGAGAGGATTGAAGAGCTTGTTGGTGTGCCTATTCATTACATTGGTATTGGACCAGGTCGTGATGCCCTAATATATAAATGAGTTCTAGGTTAGGCTTTTTGGCTCTGACTTAAAAAAACTTGATGAAGCAGCATGTTACTGGAGGATTGTTACGTGTTTTGGAATGATTAATGTTATCTGTTGGCATTGTTTCTTATATTGGAATGAAGATGAATTCTATGTTTTTAACTTTAAGCATCTTTCATGTTTGATCTTTGGTAATTATTACTGTTAAGACATAGTCCAAAAAGACATAGACTAAAACGAAAAGGACAGTCTATGATTGATTAGTGTGACACTGAAACTTTTTAGAGGTTGTTAACTGTTAATGCATATCATGTGATCATTGTCTCCACGGAAAGTTTGCCTTGCTGGTTAATTTGAAGGAACATCTTGTTTTACAGGCAACTCTGATCATACCACCATTTATTTTTATCGTTTGTTCTCCATGGTAGGTAAGCTTATGCATGGTTTGCTTGCACAAAACAGATAACATTCTTTTAGGACTTTGACTTCATGCTCTCTAATTAATATACCAAAAAAAAAAAAAAAAAAACAGAACAACTCATACATATTCAGAAGTACACTCATTTTATTACTGGACAGACTGCACTCTGAGTCTGAGCAAACCTCTCTACTCATGCAGCTACACTATTCCAAAACACACTACTCTAAACTCTGAATATGATCTACAGTAAGTACTTCTCACTCATCTAGGCTTCCACAGAAGTTCCAGATAGAAGAAAAACCTAGATCATCCTCAAAATCATAATCAAACTGCATAGATAAGGTTTCACTTCCTGGCATCTCAATCATCGTCTCCCAGTTTAAACTCTGAGCTGTGAAAGGACTTCCACCTTCTTCTTGCTCGTTCCATGGCGGTGTGGGATTAGACTCTACTACTTCCCTTGCTTCTGCTTCACTCTTATCCTTCAAGATCCCCATCTGCTGAAGAAACTCATTCAAGTCAATCTCTGGTTTCTTCTTATCATCACCATCACCTTCCAACACCTTATCTGCTTCTCCCTTGCTAGTAGTATTAGTTTTGGACTCAGTGGAGGAAGAGCTAGAAGAATAGGACTGAGACAAAAGCCCATTTCTCTTAAGCTCATCTAGTCTTTGCTGGATAACTTGAACACTAGGCTGAGCATTCACATTAAGCAAACCACGAGAAGGGAACATAGAGATAAACTTCTTTGAAGGAACCCATTTAAACCTCTGAGTGTTGTTAACAGGAGGCACTCCTTGTTGTTGTTTCCTTTGCTGAAGATGAGGTAAGTTGAGATAAGCTTCAGGACCATATAGTTTCAACGCGGCTTCATCATAAGCCATGGCTGCTTCTTCAGCAGTAGCAAAAGAGCCTAGCCAGAGTCTTGCTCTCTTCTTGGGCTCTCTGATCTCAGCTACCCATTTGCCCCATGTTCTTTGTCTCACTCCACGGTAACGGCAGAGAGCGTTTTGTGGACCGCCTTTACCACGAGCTGGACCTTTCTTCCATTGTTTCATTGAGGATGGTTTCTCCATTTTGTGTGTTGTGTAGTGAAGAAGAGAGGGAGATGTGATGAAGATAATGGGAAACTTAAGAAAGAATTTGAGTGTTTAAATATTGTCACGGTTTCTCTTCACTTCTAAGAGAATAACTTTATTTTTCACCCGCGCATGTGACCGTTGCTTTCTCATATCATCTGTTATTTTCAGAATACAAATATATAATTTTTTTTTTTAAGTTTTAACCATTTCATCTCAACTTTATATTTACTAATAAAGGCTTAAAACTATAACAAGAATGATCATTAGTTGTATCGTAGATGTCTCCTACATTTCAAGACAGTCGTAATGCCAATCTTATGATCCACTTTTGGTGATAGCGTTTACACACACATGGCCATTCCATAAAAGAGATGTAACGATAAATTTTGTGCATGAGAGTTGAATATGCATATTCTGCAATTCCGGCTCGATTTGCGTTCACATTTTCAAAGAAGTCTTTTACCATTTGGAACACAAGTTTGTTTTTTTTTCCAGTTCGGTCAAAGCTTGACATAAATTTGATATATTTTCTTTTTATGTTTTGATGAAAATGAATTTTAATACATTTAGCTCAGTTACACTAAATAGAATTTCACTTTTATGTGTTGGTATTAAAGAATAGACTGATCAAACTATAACCAAATGAAAACATTTTTTTAATTATTTAGACTCAGATTGATAATTTTGTATTTAAAGTAATTAAATTTAATATTGTTTAGTTATATTGAGTTTAATTTAGTAAAGTATGTGAATAATTCATTTATATATTAATGATAAAGTAATTAAACATATTTTATTATTAATTCTTTAGTTATATTGAGTTTAATTTAGTAAAGTATGTGAATAATTCATTTATATATTAATGAAAAAAGTCTTTGATTGATACTGTCCTTTTCTCTTTAAGTAACTAATTTGTAAATAATTCAATAATTCTTTTTCTTTTTCTCGTGATTTAATAAAAAGTCGATTCATTTAGATTATATGCTTGCTCAGCTTTAATATGTGTTAAGAGTAAGAGCAAAATATAGTGAAACAAATGAAAAGGTGTTCCCATGATTCTTTTTCTTGAGACACTTTAAAAGCTTTTGGGGGTTATAATATTTTTTATTATAATGATTTAGGTTGTCTTCTTTAGGAGGAGAATTGGAGGGACGTGAGAAAAGAGAGGCAAAGTCACGAGCCATACACACACATAAGAATCATGTGTTCGGTCCTGAGAATGAAGTCTTCTTAAGTATTTTTATGGATTTTCAGATTTAAGCGCCGCTCCCTTCATCTTTATCCCATGCTCATTGCCCTCCTTACGTTCACATATAATCAACACGTTGCTCATTGAATTTTTTTTAATTATTAAAAAGTGATTATACAAAACAAGACCAATTATATTTGTTTAACTAACAATCCCCATGTCAAAAATGAAACACGTATGCTCATACTCGAGTATGTGAAGCTGCATTAATCATTGGTTACGTAGTCAAGTGGTTTAGTTGTAATCCAGTTTCTATAATCTCTATCTCTATAATATTATTTGAGAAGTCACTTTCTTAGGTGTCGCGCTCACGTTAACTCTTACGGTGGTTGATTACTATGATACCCCTAATGAATTAAAAATAAAATTAAATATTATTTCCTTTTTAAAAATTTCCAAATAAAAATATTAAATAAAAAGGAAACATTTATAAAATTTACAAAACTGTTTAAAAACGAAAATATAAGTATATATAATATGTTTTAATAAAAAAAGGAAAGTTCACAAAATAGTAATATTTAATTTAAATAAATTTTAAATAACATAAAATATACATTTGAAGTAATAAATTACTTTATATCTATATCTTCTTAGATAAAAAAAAACAATATATGTATGTAATGTGATTTCATAAAAAAATATTCACAAAAGAATCTTGCTATTAGAAAAAGAAATATTCTTTCTTAAAAAAAATAATTTTAAACAATAATATATATATATATATATATATATTCAAAATAATTATTTTTGTATATATCTATAGATTTTATTAGATGATTACATAATATAATCAACTAACATAAACTGATATATGTTTAATTGACATTTTTTTTATAATTAGTATTATTGAAATTATTTTTTTAGTATATTTATTTGACTATAATATCTTACAATTACAGTAAAAATATAAATTCTATTTTACTTATATAGTATAATTTCTCAAAAACAATCACTTTTTACTGACTATTTTAAGAGATACTAAAAACAAAAGTATAAATAAATTTAATAATAAACATCTTTGATCAAGTAACTATAATTATTTTAAAATATCATAATACTTTATAATTTAACGATGTAGATATATTATATTTTAATAGTTAAAATTATCTGTTTTATGAATAAAGATTCTGATTTACTTAAATATTTTGATTATGGTTATATTAAGTTTCACAAACATAAACACAGAAAATAACTACAATTATTTTAAAATACCACTATATAATTTAACGAGGTACATATACTATATTTTAATAGTTAAAATTATTTGTTTTCTTAATAAATCTTTTGATTTTTAATTTTCTGTTTTTATGTTTGTGAAACTTAATATAACCATAGTCAAAATACTTAGCAAATCAGAATCCTTATTTTTAAAATTATTTAAAAGAAATTTCAGTTTACCATCCAATCAATCTAAAGCATAAATTTATTTAGAATTTATAAAATATTTTAATTATTGTAAATATTGATATGTGTTCAAAAGCTTCTAAAAATTCATTAGTTACTTATGTATGTAATTTAGAATCAGACACTTTAGATTTTGTTTTTTTTCCTTCTAAACACAAAAAAATCTTAAGTTATATATAATCTTACTAAATATACTTATATTTCTAAGATAACAACCAACATAAATGCAAATAAGAAAATTAATCAAAAACTTAAAATATAAAAGATTATAATTGAATTCGGAAAAATAGATAGAATCTAATATATCTAAATGATAACTAAATCGACTATAAGAACAATAAAACATACTGAATATAACATATCTAAAATTATATATATAATTAAATTAATATAATATCATAATATAAATTAGAACATACAAACTATAAATTAATTTAAAAATTAAAGTAAATATCAATCAATTATTATTGTATATTTATTTTATAAATATACATGTCCGTGCATGCGCACGGGAAAATCACCTAGTTGTTTATATTAAGTATGTTACATAAAATTTCTTTGTAAATGAAAAATTTAAAGCATGATGTTTATGATTTATGAAACTTAAAAATAAGGGTGGACAAATACACACAATCTGAAAATCTAGACTGAATCGAGAAAAATAAATTTGAATCAAACCGAATCCAACATAATTTTTGAATGAATTTTATTCAATAATACTTTGAGTGATGAATTTTATATAAATCTAATCCGAACAAGTATCCGAAAATTCACAAAATTTTCAAAATCCCCCCAAAAAATTCTTACAAAACCCAAACTTAATCATATGAAGTATCTAAAGAAAGTATATATATATTATATAAATAATTAACTAAAATATGTATTTTAATATATATATATATATATATATATATATATATATATATATTGGTATTTAGTCAAAGATTAAAGTTTTTTATGTTTAATGTTTTGCATTTGGAGTTTAACGAATAGGTTTGTTTCTGGAGTTTAAGTAAGGCTGCTTTATTTGAAGTTTAAATTATGCTTCTTATTTTTATAAAGTTGGTAGTTTTAATTTTTATATGTTTTCTTCTCTTAACAGCTATTTCTGAATTATTCAACCAAGCTTTTGTTAATGAAAACTGTGTATACTTGTTAAGTTTATAAATTAAAATGTGTCACAAATACGTATTTGGATAACTGAAACCCGATATAAAATCAAACCCAAAATTAAAACCCCGTTCAACTATATATAAACCAACCTATATCGAATCTAAACCGAACTTAATATTAAGAATATCCGAATGTGGTCATATTTCATATTCTAAGAAAAATCAAACCATATTGGACATCCGAACATCCATGTCTACTTTAAAATGATAAACATTGTCAATCAAGTAAATCTTCGATAGAATTTTTAAATATTTAATTCAGCTAATAGATAACAAATGCTTAACAAAAATCAATTTTTTCAATTTTTTTTTTTTATTTTTTAAATAAATTTAGTTAACAGAAAAAAGAGAGTTTTAAATAGTTTCTTTTTTTTTTTTTTTTTGCTTTAAACTCATCGCTGATACAACTCCCATGACCAGCATGCGATTTGGTGTACGAGACTACTGTCAAAGCAAATTACTTTAGTCTACAAAAAAAATCAGGCCCATCTGCTACAAACGTACCACATATCTACTACATACATACCAACTTCCTCAGTCATGTGACAAAGAAAAAGCAAGAAAAGCAAAAGATAATAATAATACATAGAATCTTATCTTACAGAAGAAAAAGACATTACGATGGGGTTATACATGCCAATAACTTATCACAGACTTCACGTACGTCTTGAGAAGGATCTGACAAAGATGCTTTAGACAAAACTGATCTCGCTTCGAGCAATCCTTCTGATATGCGTTCCAGTATCACGTCCTCACTCGCCATGAGTGATGCCATCAGTTTTGCACCAGCTAGTTTCTCCTAACACAAACAAAAAAAAATAAGATCATGAGTCTAATGTGACTTAGTTTCATATGGAACGAAAACGACAATTTCATCACGTTATTTCTGTGAGATGTCTTGTGATACCTTTTCGGATCCTTGTTCAAGAAATCTCAAGGAAAGTTTTAGTAGATCAGTTGCAAAAGGGAGTAGTGTGGACTTTAGATGGTACATGGCTGAGAATAGGACCTGAATACAAGCTGCTCTGACCTCAGGGGAAGATATGAACTGCACCAGATTCAGTAGTCTTGTTTAAAACTAGAATCCGAAAAGAGTGTAAAGCAGTCAAAAAGTAAGTAACCTTGAGGGAATGAACAAGAGGTGGAAGAGCTTTTCGAGCAAAAGTCTTCTTTGCAGAGACAGGGATCTTTTGACAAGCACTGATGAGAACGTTCGCCATGCATATACGAAATTGAATAGGAAAGGGCTTTGCACCAATCGACTCCGGCATAGACGAGTAGTCACTTCTGTCTTCAGATAAACAATGGATCGTGTAATCTAAGACAGAATCACTTGACGCATCTACAGAACCAGGAAGGAAGTTATATGCAAGTCTGGAGAAAAAATAGTAACAGCATCACAGATACACAACAGTAATACTAAGTACTAACCAGATGTGTTATTCCCTGTTGTACGTAATTTATCTCCTTTCGGTGTTTTTGAAGATTCAGGATGTTGCAGTTCAGCACATATCATCAGTGCAAGACAATCTATGCACCCGTGTTGTACTTTGGAGACTGCACCGATAAATAATAGTCATGAAGTGAGAAACTGAAGGAAAAGTAACCAAAGTTGAGTAGCGAAAGTCTTACTTTCGTCCTCATCAGAAGGCCATAACAAAATCTTTTCTAGGACTTTCCTGATCTTAGGTGTCACTCTGTGTGAAAAAGACTCCCATCCCCGAACCTGCAAGCGATGGAAACTTTGTAACGTATGGAAATATTACAGTCAATAACGCATGAAACAAGTGATTACAGAGATCACCGCAGAAGCACAGATAGAAAATGAAAGATGAAAGTATTACCACAAGGGATGTGCATATAGAAAACAGGCAAGCTTTAATCTTGAGGCTGTCTCGCAACTCTGTGGCTTTTTCAAGTTGCAACAAAACAGTTGGAAATAGCACCTGTTGAATAAAAGCTCCAGCATATTACAACTTTTGACAATGAAGAGTCGTAACAAACTGAATGCAAGCATTTAGACTTTTTTCAGATATCTAATGCAGCCAGCTTTACTTCTTACTAATAGAACCTATTTGCCTTCTCATATGTCATAAAGAAGAGACTAGATAGAAAACTTCTATAGTCACAGTGAACTTGAGAAGAAACTTACTAATGAACATTTACTCTTGTTTCTTTTTTATATGTATTGACCTTTGTTTCACATGAATTATGTTGATTGAAGTGCAATAAACAAAGGCTAAACGAAATATTGAAACATTTGCAAAAGATCGACCCACAATAAAGGTTGAAGAAGGAAACAAGTTAACACCTGGGGGTGAATACGTCCACATAGCTCGGCAGCGAGTTTTCGAACTTCTTCAAACTCAAACTTAGAATATGCCCTGAAATACGAGTGTTAGTGTCCTAGATGTCAAATGGAAATAAACTAAATGGCGTTTGATCATAATTGTGGAGTAAAATTACCTTTGAAAAAGGAAGGCAGCGATGCATTGACAATCCTCAAACTTGATGTCTCGATACTCTGATAAATACAATATGAAAAGTAATAAAGTTGGTGAATTAAGTCAACGATTGTCTTTCAGGACCATGCCGCTAATCAAAGTTTTATCCAAAGAAAGCTAAGGCGTTACATTTAATTGACGATAAAGAGTCAAATAACCTCATGATAGGCATACAGACTTCTATTATCAGGAAAAGGAAATCGAATGCGTAAGTATACATACCGTTCACAGAGTCTCCTCTAAGGAATCTACCATATATTGTAGATGAATCAATATCATCAAACACTCTCTGAGGAAGCAGTCTTAATATAAGCAGGGGGCAGAGGTGGACAAATAGAGATTTCTCAGCATTAGTTTTGTCAACTGAACTTTTAGATACTGATATAAAGTTGCCATCCGTCCTACAATAGAAATAACATCATTGGTGATCAATATTCTATATTTTGGAAGATATGATAAGCTTTTCTTACCATGGAAATCGCATCAATGGTGAGCATATAGCTCTATTTTGAATTGCTACGAGAGAAAGATTACTTACTTGTCTTGCTCCTTCATATGTGATAGTACATGCAGAAGGACGATGTCCGATGCATCTGCCAAATGTTCACTGATGCAACTAAGAAACCTAACCATGATGGAATTGGATGGCTCCAAAAACATCTTATCAAGCAAAGGTCCAATTAGTGAGCCCCAGTTCTGAACCTGTAAGAAACTTATTTTCAATCAACAGCCAGACATAGATTCTACCTGCTTAATTATAGCTGGCACAAGCTTAAGTCATCTAGTAATTCTCCTATGTGAAGAGGTGCGAAGCACAAACACAAAAAGTAGATTTTTTTTTTCTGTTTTTTAAAAACAGGGCTTGGCAGGTGAAAAAGGAACAACCAATGCCTTAAAACGTCTGTATTGAAGGTTCGGAGTTAACAGTTCAGGATTTTTCATTGTAGTGCTACAATTAGTTCGTGACTGGCGCCAATAGAAGCACCTGGAAACTAAAAGAGATTTCGTTTCAAAGATAGCAGACATGATGTATTGTTGTACTTACACTTCTAGCCCACTCCGGGATCAGCTTAAGCACTCGACCGCTGTCAATAGTTGAACCTGCAACAGTACAAGAAGATGATGAGCACGCAATCGTCAGAGAAAAACTTAATAGTTAGTGTCCGTTTGACCAAAAAAAAAAAAAAAAGTTAGTGTCCGTTAGTAATTCCGTTCACGTTTTACATTCCAGTAATTTTATCTCTTATATTCCATCTTACATGTCGAATTTTCAAATATTTTCTATACAATACCTTCGGATTGTGCCCATATAAGACAAATGTTCAATACAAAACGGAGAACAATGAAATAAAGTATTATCAAAGTTAAGTATAGCATGCTGAGATAGAACCTGAATACCTTCCGTGGGATGTCCATTACTTTCTGAAGTTTCCAAAGCTTGAGTATTACTAGATAGAGAAAAAGTGAAGATGAGAAGCAGATAAATGCTTTTTAATGATAAAAGAAAACCAAATCCGGAAGGCAAGTCAATATCACGTATGAAGCATTTGTATGTTTACTTTTACAAACTTAGCGTAAGAACAATGTGTATTTCTTATTTGGGGTAAATGGGAATAAACAAACAACCATGCATACATGGGGGAAAAGGAGAAAAAGAGACAAAACACAATACCTAAGACAGGTCAGCAACAGACATACAACATCTGAATCCTCCTTATGATGTCTAAGGACCCCAAGCAAAGTTCCGGTAGCGGATGATTGTACGTTTCCATTGGTTGAATTAACTTGTGTTACTAACCCTGGTAGCACGAGAGATGGCTCTGGAAGAAAAAAAAAACATGCATTTGATGGCTTGATTCGATACGTCAGTTGACAAAAATATCATATGAACTATAGGTGCTACCGAGATAAGGAATAACAAGTCTTCGACCACATAAATTTGGGTCGTCACAACTCATCTGAATAACAGATATCAACATAAATGTTCTTTTTAACAAAACACTGATTTATTTTCGGAAAAATAAATGAAATCCATCTAATAATGTGAAAACAGACTAGATCTAGAAAATTAAGGAATAAGATTTGCAATACCAGAAATTGATAGCGACCACAAATAAGAGCTTTCCAAAATACTTGTGTACAAAGGTAAAAAGAAGACCAACCAATTGATTTCAGCAACTCTGAAGTTTGTTTACGGATATAAGTTTCCTTGTCTCCAAGGCACTTTAACAAGCAGTCTGCGATCTCTTTCCTAAAATAGGTGCAGAAAATGAGTTATTATTTCCGAGGGCATGAGAATGCAAATAGAATCAAGGAACTAAAGAAGATGCAGAAAAGATAGAAAGAGAAAATTCAGACGACAAAATATATAAACGATTGTATACCGAGGAATATGAGAAGGATATGAATCTTTTGACATGATGATTACTTCTGATATCACATCCATAGAATTCAGCCTCTGCACAGTAGTTCCAGAAACAAGGCGCTGTAGAACTTCACTGAGACAGCTATTATCTGCATTTCTGGAGAATGTTTCTTTAAGTCAGAAGACAAACTTGGAACCGCGACTGGTAACTAGAAAGCTACTTTTATGATTTTGAAGCTAACGGGAAAGGAAGAATAGACATACTTGGAACAGTAGTCTGCCAGGAGGACACTAACAGCTTTGGCGGCGCCATCCCTCTCGTCAAGAAGGTGAAGCAAGGATGGTATCACAACGTCCAGGCACATTGTATCTCCGGACTGTGATTGTAGCTTAGAGATGACTTCTTTAAATATAGCAACAACGCCTTCTGATATCTCTTCCTTGTTACTCCGAAGCTTCAAAGGCAAACGAGGAATGTAAGTACTAAGATAATCTCAGGGGAATATATATTAGTCGTCAAGAAACCTTTCTCAGTATATGAAATAATCATGACCGCAATCGAGCAGAACCAAAATATGAGTATCATAATGAGTAGAAAGTAAAAAAAGCCTAAGACCAAAATTCCAGCGTTACTACAGCCTATATAATTGCAAGAGAAAATCCTATAAAGCGTGTCATCACTCCCTATTCAATAAGAAATTGGAAAGATACCTGATGTAAAAGACAAGGCACAAGCTTCATTCCAAACTCTGATAGTATGGTCTCAAATTTTTCTCCCTCAAAGCGGCCCAACAGAAGGCATAAACAATTTAGGAAAAACTTCTGTGTCTCTATACTACCAGCCTTGATTTCAGAACTTCCCTGAGTATAACTTTCTGAATAATACTGCATCATTTTATCATTGTTAGCTTCATAATGACACAATGAATTAAAAAACACTAATAAGAGAACGAGCAGAAAGCTAGAGAAGCATTAAAACCAGTACAAACCCCAATAGGATGTGAATAAAAAGACTCCGGAGCAAATAATCTGACACGGTCTATCATAATCCCACTAGTATACGATGCAAACACATTGCAAATTTCTATCTTCTTAATAATTAATAGAAACTGTTAAATCTGTTTACTCCTAACAGAAAAACGGGCCAGGAAATTGGAATATATACCGCAGATTCAGACACGGACACAATAGAATCCCATAGGTGATAGGCAGTACAATTTTACTGTATGAAATAATTTTTCCCTATCAAAAAATTTGAAACCAAAAGGATTTTCGATTATGTCTAACCTTAATACCGGACATATACTGATCCAACAATTCCTTGCTAATCTTTGAGAACTTCTGATCTTCCATGTGGAGCAAGACACTGTAATGCTTCCAACAAGAAGAGAGCAGTAGAGCACCACCCTTAGATACATCCGTGACTAAATTCCAGATATGAAACAAACAAAAAAAATGATAAGCAAGAATCAGAAATAGAAATGCGAAAGAACAAGAACATGCTGCATTAGTCAGAGACCTGCCTCCTTCTGAGAGCCACCATGATGCTCTTTTAACTCCTCTAACCATTTCAGCACATTGTTTAACCCCTTAGCATGAAGTAGTCGACTTCTCTTGTTCCACTGAAAGGAATATTTTGTCAGTATTTCTCGACAGTGGACAACTTCAAAATGTAAAACACAGATAAACCATCTTTCAATGAATTAGTGAACATACAGCAAAGAGACTCTGTACAAGGCGCATCAGCTCCTCCAGGTGATTCCACAGTATACAACTTTTCTCACTGGTTGCGTCTTCAGGTCGAGAAGTCTTCTTTATTTTCTTCTCACTAATACTAGATACCAAGGCAACCGGTTGATGAGACCCCGTAATAGTGGTCGATGGCTTCGGTCTGTTTGCTGGAGCATCATTACTCTTTGCTAAGGCTCCAGTAACTGACAGCAAGCAATCAGCAGCGGAAACAGAAAGACGAGATGGCACCTCATATCCATCCTGCAAAATACTAAACAAAATAACAGCTCAGAACTAGGTGAAAATGACTATGCATAGTTGTATACAAGTGAAGAAACTTAACACGTTCATTTGAGTAATTTATCAAAATGTGAAAAAGAGAACTAAAAATAAAAGGGACCAACAGAACGAGAGGTGATATTTACATCCACAAACAAAGAAGTTGTATACCTTCCGTTGCGTACAACCATCACCAAGTGAGGCACACAAGATGAAACAATCTCCACAAACATAGAATGTCTCTCCCTAATTCCTGTCAAAAAAAGTACATAACCATCAATCAAGTGAGCCTCATAATAAGGTGAGCCAGTTGAATACATAGTAACAAGAATGATTGCATTGCTCACCATTCCAAAAACCTTGATCCCCACTATCCTCCCACTCCACAAGACTTCTGATAAGTAAACACCAACCAAGCGCTAAAAACCTATCCTCCTTCCTCAAAATGATCTCACAAAGATTCCTCGAAACGCCTTGAAAGAGAACCTCATCTTGAAACATCCAGTTTAGAAGAATCATAGCTGGACTACTATGCTTAACATCCTTAAACCTTAACGTCTAAAACAAACAAAAAAGTATTAATCAACACTCCAACAACCAAGCAAGACTTTCCCTAGGGTTTAAGATATTTACATGCTCGATAATAGGTACAAGGAGTTCATCCATCGCTTCGTCTCTCTCAACAGCTTCTTTAACGGACTTTTGCAAAAACCAGAGCGCTTCATCTACGGAGCCTAATCATACAGATTACAAATCAATCAGATAAGGAAGTAAATATATACGCATAAAACGTAAGTGAAAACACTTACCAGAAGAGCCTTTTTGAGAATCGAGAGAGAGGCGGGAGATGGATTCGCGTAGGTTTTTAGGGCGAGCGGTGAGAAGCGTGCTCATGAACCTACCTACAGTGACGGAGACCAATGATTCCGGCTCTGATCTCCGTATCAATTCCTCTTCCGATTTCTCCATCTCTCAGTTTCAGCACAGTTTGTTAATAATCGGCGATTCCGATTGGATTATTCCGTCCAATTTGAAGTAATGTCGCGGAGACGACGACGAAGATTTGGGCTCTGGATATTTCCCGCTGCGTGATAAACGACGCCGTTGGGATTAAAAGTACACGGCGTCGTTTTTATGTTAATGACTGAAACGACTTTGTAAGTAACCTAGGGTGAGGACGGAGTTTTTGAATCACAGGATTCAAGTACACAACCATGGCTGGGCATTGCAGGTATTGTTTCGATTCGGATAGTTCGGTTATCAGATTAGTTCGGGTAAAGATTTAGAAGATCCATTTCCTACTTAACTTATTTTTGGTTCGGTTTAGTTTGGATAGTTTTGAATTCGGTTTAGATAGTAAAATTAAGAATCAAAAAGTATAAAAAGAAATTTTGGTTCTCATTTGTTTCTAGTTCCGATTCGGTTAGTTCTGATAATTAATGTTAAATATCAGCAATTTTGGATAATATAATAAATAATCTATACTATTATTTAAGAAGTAAATTTGCTTAGTTGTCATGTTCTCCTTGATTTTAGCTAAATTTGTTTATTTATCTTATTTAAATAATTTCATATATAATTTATTATTTAATAAAACAAATTTCTATTAATAATATTATACTCTTACAAAATATGATAATTCTTATGTATTATATTGCTATCTTTAAAATATTTTTTTTTATCATAGAAATTAAAAATTAAGTTACAATATTAATAGCTAAATATAAAGAAAGCAATGCTGATTTATCAATCCATGGTTTTATACTTTGCTTCATATTTTAATAATTTCATATATAATTTATTAAATAATAAAACGAATGTATATAATAATACTAGATTTTTTTTAAAAAAAAAAGATAATTCTTAAGTATTAGATTTTTATCTTAAACATATATTTAGATTATTTGTCATATTTTTAATAATTTCATATAAAATTTATTATAAAATAAAAACGAATTTTTATTAAATGATATTTTCAGAAAATAAGATACTTCTTATGTATTATATTTTTTATCTTGAAAATATATTTTTTATTATAGAAATAAAAAATTAAGATAGAAAAAAATATAATTAAAATAAATTAAAGCAACAAATTTGTAAAAAATATTTTGTTATGTGAGTGTTTTCATTTATAATTAATTTTAAAACATAAATCATAACTTATTATATTGGTTTGAATTAATAAAATATAGACTAATAATAAATTGTACGAAAATTATGCCCGCATGTGCGGGCAAAACACCTAGTTACGATAATTCAGATAAAATCTCTAATAGTTTGGATTATTTTGGATATTTAGGATAAAAATCTCTTTATACTTTTGAATAGTTTGGATAATTTATAATAATTTATTTTTCTAAAACTATTTCAGATACTCTTAATAAAAATTATAAATTATAAATATATAAATATATAAATATATATTAATTTTATCTATATATATAATTAATACTTATATATATAATCAGATATCCGTTCGGTTCTCTGCTCGGTTTGGATTCGATTCGGTTATTTCGAATATAGAAATATAGGAACCATTCAGCATTTGAAGGTTTTGATTTGGTTCCGGTTATGGATATTTAGGTTTTGTTCAGGTTCGGTTCTCCGGTTCTTGTTTTTTCTCCAGGTCTATGACTCGTTGGCATTTAAGCTAAACGGTGGCGTTTGCTAAAGATCTAAAGATGTCGTAGTTATTGGGTTTAAAAAAATATAAAACAGGCTATTAGAGGATTCAAGAGAGTCCCATATCTTGAAAGGACAACATATATATAAATCTCATCGCAAGACGTGAAGATAAAAAAACAAGAGTCTCTTCTTCCCCTCAGCCCTAATTTTCTCATCAAAGCAAAACCTAACCTAAGATTAACAAATTGAAGAGAGGATGGATTCCGTATTTAGATCGGCGAGGGAGAAGCTCGAAAAAGAACACAGAGAGAGCAAGGAAAATGGGAAGCTGATACTCGAACGAGAGATGAAAGACAAGGAGGCTGCTGAAATGCAACGCCGAGCCGTTGAAGCTTCTCACAGAGCCAAAAGGCTTGAAACCATTGAATCCCTGATGAATAAGGTACGTAACGTTTATCATTCTTACTCTCCTTTTAATCGTTTGGTTTATTAGAAATTCAATTTTTTATTAGAGAAAACCGTAATTAACGAGGATCGTAATCTTACATGGTTAGGTTGAGCCTGCTGATCCGCAAAGCCAAGCGGCCCAAGCCGTTAAGGCTTCTCAAAGAACCAGAAGGTTTGATGAAGCCATTGAGGTACGTTTAATCGTTGGTGGTTTTTTTATTTGGAGCACTCTCAATATATGTGAGAAATTCAATTTTGATTAGATATTTTCTCTTACATGGTTAGGTTGAGGATAACCTTCGTGAAAAATATTACAAAAAATATTACGAACTTATAGAAGATGGAGATAAAATCAGGGAGACTAATATGCCGCCAAGGATAGCACAAAAGAGAGATTACGATGTTTTTGAATCGCAAGTTGGAGACAACGCTCCAGGTACAGGTCTGTTTTGTTTGAGTTTACTTTTTAACTATAAGAGTGGGGGCCACATAATGTCAACAAAGAGTTTAGAGCAGGATTATCCAAGGGGCTTAGAGCACCCCCATTAAGGTTCAATGGGGGGGTTTCACACAAAAATCAAGAAAAAAAGAAAAAAAATATAATAAAAGTTGTGAATCTTGCTCGCTGGATATTACTGGGGTGAACCCGGTTCAACACTGTTTCGCGAGCCCCATGCCACGTGGTGGCCCGCGATTGGTCCATTATTATTTTTTTTTTTTTTAAAACAAACGAAAAAAAAAATTAATTTTTTTTATGAACCTCCCCCCATCGGTTCACTGATAGGGGTGCTCTTAGAGGGTGCTCAGGGAGGGGAGGATCCAAAAAAAAACAAAAACTGAATGCTTAGGGGGAGACTATATAAGCGTCCAATTTTCAGTGTTGCTTGGCTTGTTCTATGGGCTCCACGACACGTAGCGGCTCGCGATTGGTTCTTTTTTTGTTTTTTTTTTAAATCCAAAAAAAAAAAAAATTAAGCAACTCCTAATGAAGTGCTGGGATAAATGTGCTCTTAGGTTTCATAATATAAAAAAAAGATTATATTTTGGTTACTTATCATTTTTCTTAATTTGCAGGAAAGTGTAAGAAGGTTTATTTGAAATATGAGAGCACAAGAAGAGACGAAGAAGGAAAGTGTAAGAAGATTTATATGAAATATGAGAGCAGAAGAGGAGAAGAAACGAAGAAGAAGACAAGGGATGCTGGGAAGAAGACTGAAAGCAAATAAATTAACCATTGATCATATAGAATGACAATGGATGTGGTTTCAGTGCTATTAAGTTATAGTTATGTACTTATGTCAAGTGTGGTTTCATAAAACGAAATTGAAAACACTTACCTGAAGAGCCTTTTTGAGAATCGAGAGAGAGGCGGGAAATAGACTCGCGTAGCTTTTTAGGTCGAGCGGAGAGAAGCGTACTCATGAACTTACCTATAGTGACGAAGACCAAAGACTCCGGCTCTGATCTCTCGTATCAATTCCTCTTACGATTTCTCTATCTCAGTTTCAGCACAGTTAAAGAATAATCGGCGATTCCGATTGGATTATTCCGTCTAGTTTGGGTTCTGGATATTTTCTGCAGTGTGATAAAACGACGCCGTTGAGGTTCATAATTTACGGCGTGATTTTATGTTATAGACTGAAACGACTTCGTAAGTAACCTAGGGTTAGGAAAGAGTTTTTTAGTCAAGGTTACAACGACTCGATTAAACGACGTTTGAGAGTTGAAACCATGGATCAATATTTCTATCAGATTCATTATTTGCTTATATCAAAAAAATCGGATATTCAGAATCAAATCAAATACTAAAAACTAATATACGTTAGAAATGAAACATATACAAATACTAAAAAGTTAGAGCCGAATAGTTAATCCACTCCGACACTATACAAAGAGATGTAGATCTAATGGGTGAGAATCTCTACCTAATAGAGAGTATTATTGAATATCCTATGTAAGTTGGATTCTATGTGGGTTAGATTCATTTGGATGGAGTAACATTTTATTAATATATATAATTTGGATGGTATTATTGAATATCCTAATAATTTTTAAACGTATTTTGTAATAAATAAATGTACCATTTTAATAGAATATACAATTTTTACTTTTCTATTTTGTTGTTGTTAAAAAAGTTTCCTTCCAATCTTATTTGTTTTGGATATTTACTTAACAAATTAATTCAAATTTGAAATATGTGGTGTTCAAACCAAACAAGAAAAAAACTGTGGTGATACTAAAATATTAAATCCTTTTGTTTTGTCAAAAAACTAAACCCATTTAGTTTTTGTACATATTAGTCGAATGGTAGATCCACAATAATTAAGTACTATAATATATCATATGAAATCATTCAAATATTGGTTAAGTTGTTCTTTAAGCTAAATGCTTCACGAAGTTAAAACTGAAATGGCAAAAGTCACATGTTAACATCCCAGATACATGTTTCTTTTACAAATTTATGGATGGTGGCAATGTAAAGAAGAGAACAATAGTGCTGAGATGAAACGGTGATTTGAAGTGGGATCGAGGTAATCTTATTTTATACGTTTAACCAGAGCTAAAAGGCACCTATGATATCCAATCTTAGTGAATTTTTTACAGTAATCGGCGTGGGTGAGTCTGACGATAGCTGTAGATGAGCTTGACAGATCAAAATGGATATAAATTAAGTTTCTAAAATTCTCCGGTCCACTATTTAACCAACGGATTTCATCAAGTAGTTATTGTTATTGAGAATTACGTAAAATAGCTCTAGGCTTTGTAGCCTGATTAGGTGAAGCCATCCCCTTTCTTATTAAATGATGTAAAATGCATTATTTTAAAACATCAAAATTCTTGCAATTATGATTTTGCAAATATTATGTAGACTTCCTTTTTTTATAGATGTCATAAGTTGGAAGGCGTGTTATATCATTTGTTTGTGAGGTTTAGCCTCTTTTACAAATAATCAATAACCAATAAAGAACTACTATAAATTTAGACCAGATGAAATCCGTGTCACACGAAAGAACCAACAATTTTTGAATGGAAGTTAACTTAGACTATTAATCGATTTAATGTTTGCTTAGCAAAGTGTGAATCTATTATACCAGAGCTAAGTGATTATATTTTGTGATGATTAGGATTGAACGGAGTTTATATGTTGTATATATTGTTTATGTTTCGCTAGATATGCACAATTATTTCACTTGATTATATTTTGTGATGTTTAGGATCGAACTGATTTTATCTATTAAATATAGTATTTTGTTTTGATAGATGCACATTTTTATATATTTCATAAGAATTTTCATGTGTGTTTTATGTCCACTAATAAAATAAAATAAAATTGAGGATTTTGTGTGTTTGGGGATTTGTCTTATAAGGAAGTTGGCCGCGATTAGGTTGCGAAATGATGTTGTCAGCATATCCAAGACGAGAACCGAGAACATGATGTTAGGACCCATGGAAACCTTGTTATGGTTGGTCCACAAGAGTTTGTAGTCTATCGAAATGTTGTTCCATGTCAGTTCTAACGATATTGACTATGGTGGGTTTGTGGGACTTGAATTACCTCCGCCAGCCAACAATGATGCAGTGGATGCTGATCCTATGTGGTAAATTATTTGTATTTTAGGATAACCATGATAAATCAGGGTTGCTACAAAAGAAACTCAGTTTCACTTTATCTGCGAGATTATTATTTTAGTGACAATGACGGTGGACGCCTAATCTTTGGAGGTGTCAACCAGAGACATTACGAAGGACATCACCAATATTTTGATCTCGTGTACAACACTTACCAGTGGAAGATTCATATATATTATAAATAAAGTTGTATTGGAGTTCTCGAAGGTATTTTGAAATAATAGCTTGGATAATTTTTGGGAAACTACTGAGGAAACTGATCAAAGAAGTGAGTGCTTTATGTTTTAGAATGTTAAAAAAAAAAAAATAATAATTGTTGGTGCTCATGTTCTGATAACATTGATGGTTGAGAAGGCCGCATTTGATTATACAGACTTACTGACAAGAGCAAGTCTGAACATGTGGATCATGCAAAGATTGTTCTTTGGAACAGGGGCAAACCCACTTATGACTAATGGAGTCATCTGACAGTACAAAAATTTGATAATATGTTGTTTTTGTATAGGTAATTGCCAAAACTTTAGTAGCATAGTTGGTAAATCATGACTTCTGACTCCACAGAAACTTGGGTTCAACTCCCACCAAAGACTTTTAAATGATTTTGACCCTAGTCAAATTTATTGTTGGGTCTGCCCCTGCTTCGGAAACTTTTTAGTGAGGGCTTGGTGCCTGATCCTGTTGCATTGCTAGTTACTGACTGGGCCACTGATCCGTACAGTTATGGTGCCTCACTCATATGTTGCTATTGGTGCTTCTTGTGAAGATTATGATGTGCTGGGAAAGCCTGTTCATAATTGTTTGGTTCTTTTTTTTTTTGGACATGCAAAGAGCAGCCTGACACTTTTGGTGGTACAATGATGATTTTGTAGGTATTGGAACTTGTTTTTTAAAATTATAATGTAAGCACATATTTTGTAGGTATTGGAACTTGTTTTTAAATTATAATGTAGCACATATACTTGTTTCTTCTTACATACTAAGCACATTATTGATGCTGCCAGTATTGGACCTTGTTTATGATGTAAAACATTTTCTGCAGTTTTTCTTACGTCGTAGCACATATTGTTGTTAATCTTATGTGAACTTCGTTTTTAGATTAAAGAAAGACAAAAAAAAAAAAATCATCATTCAAGAGAGATACCTTAAGCTAATAATTTCATACAAATTTATCAATGATCCGAAAATATATTTTTATAGTCTGGGCCGGGCCTAAGCCCATTAGCAGGAAACATTATAATGAATTCCATCTTAGCCACAGCGTCGTTTATTGCGAATGCCCGAAAATGTCGTCGTAAATAGGGTTAGGACAGAGTCTTTGAGCTTCTGCCCACGTGGCAAATATTCATTAGTTCTTTTATTGTTTGTCCTAAATCAGGTTTTAAGAAAAAACACAAACACTTTCTCGCTTCAGTATATTCGCCGCCTCCGGTAAGATTCAGACATGGCCACCATCACAACCAATGCGCCGCCTAAATCCTTCTCTTTAACCAATCCTCTCAAACCCCTAATCCCAAAATCTCCATCTCTCTCCTTCCCACCTCACAAGAACCATCACCAGCGTCTACGCCTATCCATAAACGCCGCCGTATCATCACCCGAAACCAGAAACGCACCATCACCGGATTACAGAGTGGAGATCCTCTCGGAATCACTCCCCTTCATCCAAAAATTCCGAGGAAAAACCATCGTCGTCAAATACGGCGGCGCCGCCATGACCTCCCCGGAGCTAAAAGCCTCCGTCGTCAGCGACCTCGTCCTCCTCGCGTGCGTCGGTCTCCGCCCCATCCTCGTCCACGGCGGAGGCCCCGACATCAACCGCTACCTGAAACAGCTCAACATCCCCGCGGAGTTCCGCGACGGCCTCCGCGTCACCGACGCCACCACGATGGAGATCGTCTCAATGGTTCTCGTCGGAAAAGTGAACAAAAACCTCGTCTCTTTGATCAACGCCGCCGGAGCCACCGCCGTTGGACTCTCAGGACACGACGGTCGGCTTCTGACGGCACGACCGGTTCCCAACTCGGCTCAGTTAGGTTTTGTCGGAGAAGTTGCGAGAGTTGATCCCAACGTGTTGCGTCCGCTAGTTGATTACGGTTACATTCCGGTTATCGCCTCGGTTGCGGCGGATGAAGCTGGTCAGGCTTATAATATCAATGCGGATACGGTGGCGGGGGAGCTGGCGGCGGCGTTGGGAGCTGAGAAGCTGATTTTGTTGACTGACGTGGCGGGGATCTTGGAGGATAAAGAGGATGTGGGGAGTTTGGTGAAGGAGATTGATATAAAGGGAGTGAAGAAGATGATTGAAGATGGGAAAGTTGCTGGTGGGATGATACCTAAGGTTACGTGTTGTATAAGGTCTCTTGCTCAGGGAGTGAAGACTGCGAGTATTATTGATGGGAGGAGACAACATTCTTTGCTTCATGAGATTATGTCTGATGAAGGAGCTGGAACTATGATTACTGGATGAAAGTTTTGGTGTAATAGATTATTTAAATCAATTTCATGTTTTTTGTATTTGGGAATGTTAATGTTTGTTTGGTTAATTGAGTTAATCTTTTTTCTCTCTTTGGAGACAATAATAAGGATAGTTGAGGTTATCTTTTTCTTTCTCTTTTGCTTAGCTTTGTTACTGTTTCTACATTTTTGTCAAACTATCTGAATGTTGGCATATGATAGATTCTTTAGGCTTTGGTTACTTCCTGATTTTGAGTGGATTTGGTTAGTTCCTTATGGCTATAAGAGAGACAAACAAGACAGGGCTAAGCGGTGCCAGAACTGATAGTTCCTGATTTTAAGTCTCAACCTATCCTCACGTACATCTTAAAGGTGTGGGCACTCCCAAGGTGTTGGCCTTCCAACCTATCCTGAGTATCTTCACATAATTGTCAACCTGATATAAAGGCAATAAACATTTTAAGGGTGTGGGCCTCTTTTTCCTGGGTCTGAAGCCCAACACTCAAATCATATCACCAGATCAAAGCTTTTCATTACTATTAGCATTTTTCTCACTTTGTTTGTGGGTTGGGCCACATATTATGATCCATACAATTAAGGAAAAACAAGATGTTTTCAATATAATTAATACTAAATATATTTTCGTCGATTTTAAAAGAAATTATATGTATAAGTACTATATCATAAAATAAAAAATATTATGAAACAAAAAGATTTATCAAAACCCTTATAAATTAAATAATCTAGAGAGGCACAACACACAATTTCTATATAGGAATACATATTGTAATTAAATATTTAAAATAATTAATTTTTAAATTACACAATAAAAATGAAGTTTATTTAATGGATATTTTATTCTACAAAGTTAAATAATATATGTAGCTTAATTTCTCGTTATGCATTTCTTTTCTTTTTTGATTTTCTCAAACGATTACAAAAAAAAAATTATAATATACGAATTACAGAGGTGATAAAAACATATAGAAATTTTCAGACAATTACAATATGCGAATTATATATAGAAGACATCAGGCCTGAAAATACAGGTACTGCACAAATGTCGTAAAATATTCACACGGTGTGTCGACACAGAAGACACTGAAGAAGAATGACTACAACATTGATCACCTGAAACATGCTGGAAGAGAATCACAAACTCGTCAGTGAACCACACAACTTTTGTCTTAGCCAATACCACATTGACTTATGCATTTTTGATAATAGGTCCGTGAAGATTCACTGGTTTTAAAAATTTACGCTATAAATGATGTTGTTATTCCTCACAATTTTTTAACTTTCGAATTAATAATATAAAATGAATTATATTAACAATATATTATAAATTATTTACAACGGAACAAACCTCTTTATCATAATCTTTTAATTTTTTTACTGAAAATTATATGTGATAAAAAGGAAAAGAGATTGTGTATATGTGTGATTGATTAGTGTTGAGAGCATGATGATTCGTGGGTGATGCAGTTTTGAAAAAAAAAAGCTACATGAATTTGTGTGTTTGGTATGAAAACAATAAATAAGAAAATAAGAAAGAAACATAAAAGATTAAAGTGAAAATTATGTTAATGAAGATAAAATATTTTATATAAAAACTGAAAACTTATATAAACTACATATACTTTTATTTGTGTATGTGATTTACAGTTTTTTTAATTAGATTTTCTAAACATATTATTATTTTTAATTTCTGTAGAATCACATATATAAATTTACTATTTAATAAAAACTGCATATATATATAATTGTGTTGTAACTGATTTACAATGCATTTGTCATATACTGACTCTCATATAATTTGTGATTGCAAATTATAGTATTGATATTGATGTTACTTGGTTATTTTAAATAGGTTATATAACTATATATATCAACCAAACATTTTTTATGTAACCAATATTTGAGTTTTTATAGGTATTTACAATTTACACATCAAGTCTTCTTAAAGCATTTTAATGAAAATTATTAACTCTCAGGTTAATTTTGTTGTGATTTTATAACTGTTAATATATTTAAGGTTTTTTTATGAAAACATATAAAATTGTTAGAAAAAAAACAAAATATTGTGAATTGACTTAATACAATCTAAATAGTAAATTTTTATTATCTATGACTTATTTTGGCTAACTTAAATAACTAACATCCTATTGTTGACTACAAGCTTAATTATGTGGTAATTTAAAAGTTATTTATTTAGAATTTCATAGATTAGTTTCTCAATAATTTGATCTAGTATGAATATTTTATAGTAGGGTTTAAAGCGAAGAAAGTATAGTTGTGCTAAAATTCATTGTCAATAGATTTTTCTAATTCAGTGGAGGTCAAGGTTTCTCATCCATATGTTTCTGTCCAAAACGTATTAATTAAAATGAAGTAGAAAGTGTGTAGTATCATCTCCTCCGATCCACACTAGTCACATCCTCAGCAGAAGGTTCTTGTTCTTGTTCTAACTTATTTGGGCTGAGTTTCGTTATTGGGCTTTCTTTGATTCCAATGTTTTCTTCATCTCTGTGGTCTGACCAAATCAATGAACAGCTGAATCCAAAGCATTATACGTAGACCTATGTCATCCTGATGTGGCGTGGTTTTGACTTGGCCCCAGAAAGATACTTTAAACAGTGTGTGAGAGCCACTCGTGTATCTATTTGGTACTAGAGATAGACAGAGTGGTGGAGCACACGAGACAGAGGCTACAACGAACCTTCTTTCAATTACACTGTCACCGATTTTTGGACCCACGAATCTATGCAAGTTGCCATCTTTCAAGGACCCTTTTTAATTCCAAAGTCCCCCCCCCCCACCACTAGTTGCTCTCTCTCTTTTTTTTTTTTAACTTTTGTCTTCTTCCTCTTATTGAGATGCTTTCTTCTACTTGATTGGCTGGTTTTTCAACTGTAAACTGACACTAACTGTACTAAAACACTGTTGTGTAAGATCAAAAAATAATTTTCTGTCTGTCCTATTCGAGTTGCGGAATCTCAAGAATAACTATTACACTGATTTCAACTTTTTTGTTACTTTTCATGTCCTAAATAAAGCCAAAAGAGTAGATTCTTTCAAGATTTTACAAAAATCTTTAAATCAGTAAAAAAGAAAGAAACAAAGAACATATTATTTCATCAAAACAGATCATGTCTTTTTTTGGTATCATCACAATAATCATCATCATCATCAGTGCCTATCTAGTGAACGCATAACACTACCTTCCAACCGCGAAAAAAGCCAAACAAATTAAAAAAAAAAACAACGAGCAATGGATAGAGAGACACTCTTTGTTAACTGGACTTAACCGAGTCCAGAACGATCCCTCTTGTTCTTCCCGGTGCTCCTCCGTTAATTGAAGCTAAATCCAACACGATCCTGCTCTCACCAAAACACGTTTCATTAACATAAACTCTATAGACAGTTCAATCAAGATTTACACAAAAATAATCAAGAACTTACAAGTCGTTCTTGGTTGCTTCTCCTGTTTCTTGAATCATTATCTTATCTTCAATCTTTGTCACTGTGTGCTCCTTGGGAAGATTGATCCCTTCTACTGCTTTTTATCAAACAATCACAAAAACAAATCCATTAAGCTTACTTTCATGCCTAATTAGTATACACAGTGTATACTCTTTGGTTTAGTTTTTATTACCTTCTACACCGTTCACAGGAGCGTCATCGTTTATCCCCAAGAGATTCTGAAAACATAGAAAGCCATTGTTGTTTATCATCAAACTCCTTTAATAGTATTATGCTTTTTTAAACAATAAAAGTCACCTTAAGGTTCTTGTAGCATTCCTCAAGGTTGTCATTATACAAGATATGTTCAAATATCCCTGAGGATTTCCCAGCTTTGATCTCAGCTTCAGCGTTTCTAAGCCGCTTTTGAATCTGCTCCTCTGTCTCAGTGCCTCTGTTTTTTTCACAGAAACATTCAAAGATCTGAAGAAACAACTCTTGTGGTAATAAAAGTCTTTGATTGCTACCTAGCACGGAGACGATCTTCAAGCTCCTTCATTGAAGGAGGACATACAAATATAAATACCGCATCAAGAGAGCTCGCCTTCACAGACCTTGCTCCTTGAACATCAATGTCAAGAATACATCTCTACACACAAACACACACAAGATCAGCAACATGAAAGAGATGAAACAAGAGATGGATCTTTTTAATTATTACCTTTCCTGAGTCTGTTACAACCTCAACAGACTCAATGCTAGTTCCATACAGATTACCATGAACAGAAGCAAACTCAAGAAACTTCCCATCATTAATCTCTTTCTCCATCACAGTTTTATCAGTGAAATGGTAATGAACACCGTTCTTCTCCATACACCTGGGAGATCTAGTTGTGTGGCTCACAGAGAACCCAAACATTGAAGGAAATTCTTTCATAAGCATTGTTATTAGCGTTCCTTTGCCTACACCAGAAGGACCGCTTATGACAATAGGCTTCTCTGCGTTTCCTCTCACTCCTTTGCTCCAAGCAACAACCTCTTTCCCTAAGAGTTTCCTTTGTTCTCGGACAAAAGGACTGTCCACCTAAAGTCAACGTTCAGACACATGAGAAAGAAAAAAAAAACAGACAAGATTCTGTTATAGAAAACACTGATGTCAGGTACTAACCTCAAGGAACCAGATAGAGTCATCAGAGGCTGAGCCTTTTTTGATAACCAAGATCCTCCCTTGTTTAAGAACAATGGCAGAGTAACCCTTGCAGGGCTTAGGACCTGTTCCAAGAACAGTAGGAATAGACCTGAAACACACACACACACACCAACATGGACTTCAAATCCTTAAGACTCCAACATTAATGAAGCAGAAACAAAGAGACCAAGATGGAATCATAGAGAACACACACCACTTGTTGGTGGTTTTGTCATGAATCTGAACTCCAAGGAACAATGGGTTCCCTTCATGATTCCCACCAATCAAATACTGCAAAAGCAAAAAAATAAAATAATAAACAATCAAAGATCAAAGACTCATCAAGAACAGTTTCAAAAGTAAGAGGCTTACGGATCGATCCCCAATTTGGACAGATGTATCTTTGTCTCTAGGTTCGGATTTGAGACCAAAGCCATTGGTGTGTCCTCCATTCTCCAGATGATCAACAAAGAAAGCTGGTGCTTCTCCCTATTAACAAAGAAATCAAAAAGAATGTGAGAAAACAGAGAAGAGCAACGAAGTGAATCGCGCCAAAAGAGGCACTCACCATAGAGGTTAGCTTCCAAGAGAAGAAGACACAACTCAGCTTGAGCTATGACACAATCAACAAAACAAAGAGATCAAAACCCACAAACAAACAATAATAAAGGTTCAACCTTTCTCTTATTTTCCAAAAACCCATAAACAAACAATAATAAAGGTTCAACCTTTCTCTTATTTTCCAAAAACCCATCAAAAAGACAAAACATAAAACTTTGGAGGAACAAAAAACGTAAACACAGATCTCAATGAAAACTAATCTATGGAACCAAAAGAAACCAAACCCAGAAGAGCATTTGTCCGTACCTTAAGGAAAGATTAGAGCTTTTGGATCGAATTGGAGGAGAGGAGGAGGATGTGTGTGTTTTTTATATATCTTTAAATTATGAAAAAAGTGGGGAGAAGAGAAAATTGAGAAACAAGTTTTTGAGGTGCTTTATTTGAAGAACAAGATTTCAGTTTTTTTTTTTTTTTTTTTTAAGGGAAATCGATGTATCTCTCTGTGAATTTGATGTGCATCGTCGACAAGTCCCAAGACAACTTGGAGACAAAAGCGGCCGTGACGGTGAGTGACCTCTAGGAAATCTCGGGGTACCTTCTTTATAATAAGGTTATTATTATTTTATTCTGATAATACTGTTTAATTAAAGTTTTGATTTTTGTTAAAAAAGTTTAGTCAAGACAAAAATAAATTTTAAACGATTGATGGGATATTCGAATAGTAATGTTTAATTAAAGTTTTTTTTCAATAAAAGTCTAACCAAACATAAATAAATTTAGTTTTTTTTTTATAGGCTTAACGTTTTTTTTAAAACTGATATAAATTTATAACGTTTTTTTTAAACTGATATAAATTTATAACGTTTTTTTATAAATTTAAAAGTTTGTTGGGTTAAATTTTGTATATGCCTGTTTCCCGTGGCCAAATGTAAAAAAAAAGTCCTATATAGATATATTAACGTTTTTGGTTATAATCATACTAATAATATTTAACGTGAAAATTCTCAAAAATTCAACAAAAATTATATTAAAAGATTTAGTATTCTAATATTAATATGTATGATTCAAATTTTTATTTGAGATCCATACGTTGAAATGATGAAATATTATCAAAAAGGCATAGGAAATAGAAGACAATTATTTTATGATAACTTTATTCTTTTTTCAGTTGATGACTTGATTCTTTTATACACATTTAATATTGGGATATGGAAGTATTATTTGATTACTACTCCCTCTGTTTCATTATAAGTGTCACTCTACAGCTGTGCACACGGATTAAGAAAACAATTAATTTTACATATTTCCCATATAAAAACACAGTTACCCATACACCTAACCATATTTTAACCAATATAAAAACAAATTACATAATAAAATTAATAAATTTTGCATTGAAAACCGAAAACGACACTTATTTTATAACGCAAAAAATTCTCTACAACGACACTTAATATGAAACGGAGGGAGTATTTTACAATTTGTGTCAACCGGCATTTATTATCCGTATTTCATTTGAAATTTAAGTGGCACTAACTTTACGGAAAGATAATAACTTTTCCTCTTTTTCTAACTTTTTTTAATTCTAGTGTAATACAATAGTTATGAATCTTATGATCTAAGAATAATTAACTTTGATTCGTTGGTAACTTGGTAAGTCACGTGCAATCATTTTGTACTTTATACAGTAAAATAATGCTAATTTAAATGTTTTGATACTAGTTTTTGATCCGCGTAACCGTGCGGGTGTTTGTTTTCGTTTATAGTTAGTTCTATAAACATTTTGTTTTCACTTGTAAATTTGTATATATTATATTAATTACATATTTACAATGTGTATAGTAAATGTTTTTCAAACATAATAATATTATATAATACGTCTTTTAATCAAATATATTGTTTCAAATTTTCTATATTATACATATTTTTCAAACATGTGTTTGTTTTTTCTTCTAGATTTTATTGTTTGTTAAATTAGTATTTTACTTTTAAATAAAGTAAGATAAATAGAGCTTGATTAAATATTAGTATACTTTAATTTGCAAAGATAATAAAATATGTCGAAGGTGTGGGGGTAATTTACTCAAATTAAATGTATCCTTATAAATAATAGAAGATTCCTAAACTTACATCTATTGACATATTTGCGTGTTATCGGAGGGTGAATATTCTGTTAGATCTATTCCACATATATATAAATATTCCATATTACGAATCTGTGATTATTGTTAATATATCGTGAATGCATTTTATTATTATTGACATATTTCCTTATAAATAATAGAAGATTCCTAAACTTATATATATTGATATATTTTGCGTGACTAAGTTGGAAGGTATGGAGTAATTTACCCAAACCAATTTTTAAACGTATGTTTGTTATTATATATATGACTTTTCATAAGATATAATAATGATAAGATTAGAGAATTTAATATAACCTCCCTTTCTATGAATAAGTTCAAAATTTAAAAAATCACACATGAAGTCAAGTCATGACTTCTGTTTCAATATATAATATGTATAGTTAACAATTGTACATTTAGTGACAAACATGATATTTTAATATTTTACGCACAAAATATAATCAGTTAAGAAAACATCTACTAAAAATCTAAGATCACACCATTCTAAAGTTTACCTCAGTTATATTATATGTAATGCAATACGTGTCTAGTATATGACTCTCATCTGCATATGTACACTGGGTCGGATTTAAGATTTTGAGAACAGTAAATAATTTAGTAAAGATTTTTTAAAATTAGTTGTTATAGATAGTATATAATTATAAATTAACATTAAAAAAGATTATATTTTTTTTTTTGGATTTAGATTTAAATGTATGACTGATCAGTTCCAAAGTGTTTTATTTGAAAACGAAATAAATATTTTAAAGTGTTTCAACATTTGTCCACTTGGTTAGGGTTGGTGGTACGAGTGATTAGAAAAGTGGTAAGCACTGCGAGTTTGAAACCTACTACTTAAATAAATTCAGGAATGTGTCTGACAATTTCTAACCAAGAAACAAAGAAAAGAAAATTGACGAAGTTGTTCGAACTCAGAACCTTTAACTACAATATTCATAGTCTTTACAAACAGAATTGGAAGAGGAACTTCAGCCTTCAGGTATTGTTGGTCCTCCTCAAAATATATATTTCTTGTTGGTTCTTAAGCTAATGCTTGATCTGCTTGGTCAATTTGACTGAACTGAATAAACTACACATATGTAGAAACATTAGATATGTTATATGGTTTGTCTCCTCGTCTCTAGAATTAGTCGGATCTCCTGACCAAACGTTCTTGATTACAAAAGAAAGGTGTTTTCACCATTATGGTGCAAATGTGACTGAACAAAAACTGTTTGAAACAAATATTCAATTAGACTGGTTTGGAAAAAAACCTTTTAAACTTTAAATATTTAGTTTAAATATTTTTTTATTTTTAAGTTAATATAATATAATATTGTTATCATTTTATGAAATATAGCAAATACATAAAAGTTTTAAAAATTAGTTTTCAAATAATCTTTTTATTTTATTTCATTTCAAACAGTTTGATTTTTTTAAAAAAAATTGTAATTTTTTTTAAGTTTCAAATACAATTATTGGAGGTGGTATTTCAATTCATTGTTTTTCACTATAAAATATCATTCAAACTATACCAAATCCTTTGATGGATTTTATTGACAAAATTTATATTTTTTAATAAGTTGGAATATGGGATAATTTATACAAACAACTATCCATAAGTTTGAATTTCGTATAGAATTTATAAATGTAATATACAATAAGAGGGATTTGAGAAAAAAATGAAATCCTCTCAAATCATTGATTCAACAAGATTTCTTTTTTTGTCACATCATGATAAATGATGATAATGGTTACTACGATCATTTTCACTATTCGGAGCTTGCATAGGTATAAAACTATTGATATGATTTAAACTAACTTCTTCGAAAGGGAAGCCAAAAGCGGTAGAGTTTGAAAGAGTTTCAGACGAACTGAAACAAAACAGGACCACAATGAGTTAACGTATAAAAGAGGTTAACAATTAATCTAATTAGGTAAAACGTGAAACTAATCTTAGACAAAGTCATACGATATTGGTTATAAACATGGGATGGTGTCCCCAAAAATTCAACGTTAATTAAATTCAAACATGAACATGATTTTGACCAAACCATCAATCCACCAATTCTGAACACCAGAAAATGGATAAGGACATCGATACATAGTTTTTGTCCTCATCCCTTTTAGTATGTTGTAACATTCTCTTTTTCCCTATTCCAATATACTTTGTACATAGACCAGTCTCTCCAATATGACCATTTGCGTAAAGAATATTACCCATGACCGATTATTAAAACACTTCTAGAATCTATATTGCTCGTCAAGTTTGGTGAGACAAACTCAAACTCGAAGAGGATACGTAATACGAATGAGATTCTAAGGAGATGGAAACGTGGAAGGAGACAAAGTAATATTGTCTTAGATCAAGCGATCCATAAACCATTTTCAGTTTTTTACTAAAAAAATGATGTGTGACACTAGAAGTATTAGAGGAGACATCGTCTTGTGGAGTAGGACTTGGTCTCCTTATGGATGCTAACGCTAACGTGTTTCCAACGTAGGATTCAAGCATTTAATTTTCTTTTGTTACGTTGACAAGTTTCTGACAATGAAATTTTTTCTTTATCCGTCAATTTCGTTATATGATATGTCAACCACCCATGGTTTTCTTTATCCGTCAATTTCGTTATATGATATGTCAACCACCCATGGTTAATTGGGCTCTGCTGAAAGCAGGTGATTTGTAGCCCACCTCGGCCCATACAAATTGCAACAAGTTTTATATTTTTTCTCGAGTATATCTTCCTTGTCACACCAACTATAATATTGTGATTGATTCTGTGAATCAGTCCATACCGTGCCGGATAACTCGGCAACATACTTTACTTCAAATCGATTTTTCTGAATACTAAAGTCTCTAGTTTGTGTCTACTTGTGACATAAACATATGTTATAAACCCTTTCTTCTATGCCACGATTAAATCTGCATCGTATCAAAAGAAAAATCTGCATCGTATCAACTTTTTCCTTCTCGAGATATGTGTCAATTCAAGTTTCTATATCTTTCTTGATTTTACTATCTTTAATTATTTGAGTAGCAAAGCAAACTAGCAATGTTACTCTAAAACTTTTGACAAAAGTGTTAACTGTTTATATAAAGTACTAATCTTGTGGGTCAAATGTGTGAATATTATAAGAAACTAATATAATTTAGGTTAAAATAATAAGGTAGATATGATATAAATTGACATTTGATACGTGGCTTTTTCCTACTGGGATCTCCTAGCACATTCAAAAAGCTGACGTGTTTATCTTATTTTGGCGGGACACGCTACCACTCGTTTATCGACACGCACATAACTTTATTACCGGGCGACACGTGTTAGCCTGTAGCTTGGTCCACAAGCATTATCCCGTATTCGTGGTAGGTCCCGTATTGCCGACACTCCTTGCACTACGTTAATTTCTATTTCCATTTCGAAAATAAAACACGGGAAACTCTATTGCAAATCTAAAACTTTCTTAAAATTATTCTTATAAATAAAAAAAGACTACCCACTGATTAAAGTTCCCTTTTAATTTTAAAGATGCTCTTGGATAAATAAAAATATATCGAACCGAATTAGGTTAAAAGTGTGATAAATAGGTTTAACTTAAATTAATTAATTTTCCACCGAATTAAGGAATAAATTAAATCTCTTGCTAAATATCTCAACACGTCTTCGTAATACTGGACGAACGTAGCTTTCATGATGGAAAGGACTCTTAAACACTTGTTAACATTTCTCCTCTCATCTAAAACAATTCGTTACATAAAATGATTAACCCTCATAATCATTGAGATTATTTATTCTTCCTTATGCCTTGGTGTCCTTCTTTCATAATCTAATTAATATCATTCAAACCTCATCTTCTAATCACCACACAGTCTAGTATACTATACTACTACTAGCTAAAGCTACAAACTCTGATGTTGACTTTGTATAATCAAGAGAGCTCATCAACAGAGATCACCACCACAAGTACTGATGATTCTTCCAATCACCGGGACGAGACTCCGCCGTCGTCAGAGACAGTCGTGAGAGATATTCACGCCATGACGACGACGGAGATGCCTCGTCCACAGCAAAGAGGAGGACACTTGTCTCCCACGAGGTCCGTGAATTTTAGCGATGGAGCTTCTTCTGCTGGAGAGAACTTCACCACAGTGAGTAGAGAGTTCAACGCTTTAGTCATCGCTGGCTCTTCTATGGACACTAACAACAACAACAACAACAACAACCAATCCATAAGTCATCGTGACGTCATCAACGAGCTGACTAGGATCAGTGAAGATGAAGACGCTCGTGGTGGTGGTGATCATCAGCATCATCAGGTGCCTGAGGAGGATACAAACCCGTGGGCTATAGTACCGGACGGTTATGATAACCGGGCCGGTTCGGAGAATATTGTGACGACAGCTTCATCAAGTGGTCAGAATCGGATGGTGGCGGCTGCTTCGGTGCAAAGGGTGAAGAGGGATGAGGTGGAAGCAAAGATAACGGCGTGGCAGACGGCTAAGTTGGCTAAGATTAATAATAGGTTTAAGAGACAAGAGGCGTTTATTAACGGTTGGTTAAATGAGCAGGTCAATACAGCTAACTCTTGGATGAAGAAAATCGAGGTTAGTTATATTAACAAAATACGAATTATATACTAATTTCAATCATATTATTCTGAAATTATATGGATTATATATATTCTTGTAATCCTCTGTGTGTATTATACAATATATAATTCAAAAGAATATCGTCTTTTAGTATTTTTCGTATTTTGTAATAGCATAATTAACCAGGCAAAAATTTTTTTGAACATATATACATACTGTATATGATTTTTATCAATGTTTGTAATTGTATTAGGAAAATGTTTTCATTAATTATGTGGCATTATATATGTGTGTGTGTTTTGAATGTTGATGACATTTTGGATGCAGAGGAAGTTGGAGGAAAGGAGAGCAAAGGCGATGGAGAAGACGCAGAACAAAGTGGCGAAAGCTCAGAGGAAGGCGGAGGAGAGGAGGGCTACGGCGGAAGCAAAGAGAGGTACGGAGGTTGCTAGGGTTCTTGAAGTCTCTAATCTCATGAGAGCCGTGGGAAGACCTCCTGCAAAACGTTCATTTTTCTCTATCTCCTAGCTAAGCGACGTTTCATTCCAACTCCAAAGATTTCATGTGTATAATATTAATAATATATATATGCTACAAATGAATCAAATTCTACTGGGAATCAATGTGTATAAATAGAATGTAATAGCGATTGTATGTTTTCCACAAAAGGTTATTGTCTTACATGTACAAGTTGGGGGATTTTTTATCAAACTCTGAGATGCCTGGATTTTAATTTACATGCGTAAATTGTAACCAGATTAGGATGCTTATTCTTTTATACTTGCATACCTATCATGTTATTTTTCTTATGAAAGTTGAAATGTAATAGTCCAATACTTCAGTCAACTGTAGATCAATAAAAGAAAAAACTTTGTGTGAAATGTGAACTACATCATCTCTTTTCAGAGTTCTCATATGTGTTTCTTGCTCATTTGGTAGAAGACCATAATGCATTAATAAGCAACATGCTAAAGTCTTTACTTTAGCAATGAAATAATGATAGATTTTCTAGAAACAGAGAAGATTCATGCATCTCTTAATATTTTTTTTAATGATAATTGACCTTTTTGTGTTAATGTAAGTAAACAAATTAAGGAAATCACAGACTTGGTAAGAAACTAGGAGTAACAGAAACACTCGAGTGAAGATATCAGGATTAATTAAGGTTCATAATTATCATGGATCTTAAGTAAATCTAAACACATTTTGACAAAGTCTTGTCCTCTCGCTTTCTCGTTTCCCACTCCATTGACTTTGCTTTTTATATAGTCTAACTTGTAACATGTAAGGAAGTTTCCAATTTTAACACCTTTTTATAACTTTTGCTTCTAAAAAAAATATCAAATTCTCATACTAATTGTATTGGTGTAACATAAGAATAATCAAGAATGACAGAATATATATATATATAAATTTAATTTGGCATATTTTCAATTATGCTGTTGGATGGCAATAAAAAAAATATTGTTAGTTGCGTGACTTGGGTCCTACGAAAGAGTCAAAATCGCCTTGTTTGACCTAAATAATAGAAAAATATTTACACTTTACCTTCTTCAATTCGAAGCTAAAACGTGACACAGACTCGCGCTTTAATATTTTCTCTCTATTTTTTAAAAAATTATGTTAATGTCGTGAACACCCCCAGGCCCTAGCAAGCAAAGCAAGCAAACAAGCTGCTCTAAGAATAAAAATATTGTAATTTCTTGTAAGGCTGAGGGTATAAAGGGATATGGAGAAGATATTTTCATTTTCACATTTAATGTTATGGAAAGTGAAAACACAGTCCATAAAAATTAATAAATTTCACAAGTAAAGAAAATTAAAAAAACTAAAAAAACAAAAGGAAAAAAATCCAAGACAGATTAGAGAGGGAAGATTCTGTTGACTTTCCTTCCATAATGTCTCTGTACATTATTTTTCATGATTTTCAGACAAAACATAAAACAATTTGATTCAGACAAGGAAAAAATATTTTGACGTTGATTCGATCCATCTTCTTAGATTTTTCACGCGTTTATGATCTTCTTCTTCTTTCTCCATTCCCACATATATAATCCCTCTCATCAACATTATCATTCCAAGTAACCATCCTTTGATCCTCTCATCTTCTTAGATTTTTTCACGCGTTTAAAGATCTCCCGACCGGTTTGATTTTGATCCGTAAGAAACCATGGGTAATTGTTGCGGTTCAGCTGGATCGTTAGCCAAGAACGACAACAACAAGCCGATAAAGACAAGAAAGAAGCAAAACCCTTTCTCCATCGACTACGGTCTCCACAATGTTGACGTCAACGGTGGAAAGAAGAAGAAAGCTCTCAAGCTTATCGTGCTAACGGATCCAACAGGACGCGAGATCTCTCATAAATACACGCTGGGGAGAGAGCTAGGCCGTGGAGAGTTCGGTGTAACGTATCTATGTACCGACAAAGAGACCGAAGAGGTTTTCGCGTGTAAGTCGATCTTGAAGAAGAAGCTGAGGACGGCTGTGGATATAGAGGATGTTAGGAGAGAAGTTGAGATCATGAGGCATATGCCTGAGCATCCTAATGTTGTGACTTTGAAGGAGACTTATGAGGATGAGCATGCTGTTCATTTGGTTATGGAGCTTTGTGAAGGTGGTGAGTTGTTTGATAGGATTGTGGCTAGAGGGCATTATACTGAGAGAGCTGCTGCTGTTGTCACTAAGACCATCATGGAAGTTGTTCAGGTTCGTCACGGTTTTTGATTTTTATTTGTTTAAGATTTGAAATGGCTAAAAGATTTATTGGATTTAGAGTCTAGAAGTGGCCATGTTTGTGTCTGATTAGTCTATAGTTTGAGCTCTAGTGTGCTGCCATTTTCACTGGTTCTAGTTTTGGATTATTTTGCAATGTAAAGCCGGTCCTGAGATTTACGGAACATAAAACAATTACAAATTGAGGCTAAATGCTTGATATATATTTTTTTTCTTAATTAGTTTGGGGGCCGAACAGTCTATACATACAAATTATTTAAATTTTGGGCGGCCAAGATGAATGTTTTGTATCGTTATGTGCCCAGGACCGGTACTGGTTGTTTGCTGACTGTTTGCTGACTTGATAATATTTTATGTTTGTGTTTGGACTATTTTTTTTTATTAAATGTGAGATTAATGAGTTTCCATGTGATCTTTGCAGGTGTGTCATAAGAATGGGGTGATGCACAGGGACTTGAAACCTGAGAACTTCTTATTTGCAAACAAGAAGGAGACTGCACCTCTTAAGGCCATTGATTTTGGTCTCTCTGTCTTCTTCAAACCAGGTACTGCATGTGTTATATTTTTACTTTCTTTATACTACTCATTTGATGTATAGCAAGTTGGCAACAATCTTAACACACAATATTGTCTTCTATTGCAGGCGAGAGGTTTAACGAGATCGTTGGGAGTCCATATTACATGGCTCCTGAGGTGCTAAAACGAAACTATGGGCCAGAAGTTGATATATGGAGTGCAGGTGTTATTCTTTACATACTTCTCTGTGGTGTCCCTCCTTTTTGGGCAGGTTAGTCTATATTCACATCTTCTAGTAACAAATCTGAATTTTATGGATTATAAGAATAATGAAGTTTATTTATACCATTTTTCAGAAACTGAACAAGGAGTTGCACAAGCCATTGTTAGATCTGTAGTGGACTTCAGAAGAGACCCATGGCCCAAGGTTTCTGATAACGCAAAAGACCTTGTCAGGAAAATGCTTGACCCTGACCAAAAACGTCGTCTCACAGCTCAGCAAGTGCTAGGTATAGTCTTATGGTTTCTAATGATGCTTATGTTATCTTAAGACATACATAATAGTAATCCTTCGTGCTTCGTTTTGTGCAGATCATCCGTGGTTACAAAATGCAAAGACAGCACCCAATGTGTCATTAGGTGAAACAGTAAGGGCAAGGCTGAAGCAGTTCACAGTCATGAACAAGCTCAAGAAACGAGCACTCAGGGTTATTGCTGAGCATTTATCAGATGAAGAGGCTTCTGGTATAAGAGAAGGGTTCCAAAACATGGACACAAGTCAAAGAGGGAAGATAACCATCGAGGAGCTAAAACTAGGGTTGCAAAAGCTTGGTCATGCTGTTCCTCAAGATGATTTACAGATTCTGATGGACGCTGTAAGTTTTTTTATTTATTTATCATTACTTTACTATGTCGGATTTTAAGTACTTATATGCACAATGCACTAAGCTTTGGGAGGGCTTTTATGTAGGGAGATATCGATAGAGATGGATACTTAGACTGTGACGAGTTTATTGCTATATCAGTGCATCTAAAAAAAATGGGCAATGACGAGCATCTCAAGAAAGCGTTTGAGTTCTTTGATCAAGACAAGAATGGTTATATAGAAATAGAGGAGTTAAGGGAAGCTTTGTCTGATGAAGTTGGTATAAGTGAAGAGGTTATTGAGGCCATAATTCGTGATGTTGATACCGATAAGGTTGGTTATAGCTTCATTAATTGTCACTTCTTTTATTGGATGATAGAAGTTTGAGAAAAAAACCTAAACATGATCGAGTTTTTTTTTTTTTTTTTTGTAGGATGGAAGAATAAGTTATGAAGAGTTTGCGACGATGATGAAAACAGGAACAGATTGGAGAAAAGCTTCAAGGCAGTACTCAAGAGAACGGTTTAATAGTATCAGTCAAAAACTGATGCAAGATGCGTCGTTGCATGTCAATACTGAGGCAATATGAGAGAGTGTGAATACTATGTGATAATCACCATTTGAAGATTGAATCAAAGGGATGCAAATATTCTTTATTTTATATTCTGGTTTTTTAGTTAAGTATTTTTGGCATATAATAGTTATGCCGAATTGTGCATTTAATTTTCTGGCTGAAGAGTGTGAGCGTGCATGGGTCAAAGAAGCAATAGAGTGTGGCCTTTGTGTAGATATTTTGTATAATTGTATGGGGTTAAAGATCATCATAAGTTTTACTTGTGATAATCTGTAATTTTCTATAACAGTTCAAGAATTGTATGAGAAATTGGATTTGTTTTCCTCTTTTTTGGAATCTAGAAGTTGTAGAGAACCTTTTATCATTTCTACTCTAAGTCAAAGTATGTTCAGAGACATAAAGCATATGATTTGGGGAAATTTTGACAATGAGAGTTTAAGTTACAACCGACAGTATGTGGAAATTCGAATAAATAATCTAAAGTCCGATTATTATTTTTGTGAAAAAGAAAAAGAACAGAGTAAAATCATGATCTTTTTCTTTTTCAAGATCGATCTTTTGTGTCTTTGCCTTTGTTTTTATAGAACCTGTTATTACTGTGCAACTCTTTTTAAAGAAACTAATAGAAAGATCACATGGCTTCACAAACCATATACGGAATCATCATTAATTAATTCACAAAAATCCTACAAGTACCGAATCTAAATACACAAGTAGATGTCCTGCATACACCAATCATATTCTGATCAAAACCCTAATAAAATATTTTTAACTAATAATACAAATAGAGACTAATTTGTAATCTTTTTTTTTTTGGAACACGACTAATTTGTAATCAATACTATTATTTTACTAGATGAGCTTACAGCTCATACAGCTATTATGTGTTGTAATATAGCATTCATATATCCATAGCTTGTATGTGTTGTTTTCACAATCAAAAAAATATAAACAAAAAGATAAATCAGACAATTAAACTCCCATGATTGCTTTTGGTTGAATTGTCTAATAAAGTCTACGTCATTTCAAGAAAAAGAACAAAAGAATCCACGTCCTAGTAGTCTCATCGACACGGGAGACTTGCGTGGCGAGTTAGTCCTTTACCAATTTGATTCAAAATTATTAAAACAATCAATCATGCAAAAGGTGTGAGTACGAGCGGTCGAAGAACGATACACATGTCAGATTTGGACATTTGAAACTATAGTAAACAACAGTACATGCTTTGGAAGGATACTAATCATGATTAAAGATTTAAACATTAAAGTAAGGATACGTATTTAAATTATATACATACAGCCAACAAAATTAATAAGAGTATAAACACAACTAATGATAAAAGGTCGAAAGTGAGAAAAGGAAATGTAGACAATGACATGCTGAACTGATCGAAAGATTAGATCTTTTCCCATTTGGTGAACTCGAGCTTACGTGCCTTGGACCTACTTGCGCCGTTTAATTACAAAACCAGAAAAGCTTCACCTACATTATTTGACCCATGGGGTTTTCTGTTTTTTTTTTGGTTATTTTGAAGATAAAATATGTTAAGTATCTCATAGCTAGAATTTAATGCAATTATTGGGAATGAAGGAGTGTGAGGAAATTATAAAAGCTTGATTGTGATTTTCCTTTGGTTATGTTTTGCATCTAAATACTATTCAATACTAAAACGACTCGTAAATGGTAAGAGCATGATTAATCCGAATTTTTAGTTGGGATTTTTATATTTTTTGATTAAAAATCGAATCTAAAAGTTTTAGTGAAAAGATTGAGATTAATTATGGTTTAGTGTACACTTTCTAAAAATATTTATGTAGTTAATTATTTGTGACTCGCATTATTAATTTCATTGTTTATCTTCTCTATTAAAAGAGAACTACCATTTTTATCTACTATAAAATAGTCATACTAGGTCTATATATTCAGTTACATTGTTTTACTTATTTACATAAGTTTATCTAATGTATAACATTTTTAAGTAATTATAAAGATGATAATAACACATTTATTTTTAACTGTAATTTTAAATTTTAGTTTTAGTAATCACAAAATCTATTGAGATAAAATCTAAGAAAATCTTTTTAAAAATTTAAATAGTTTTTAATTAATGCATTAATTAATTTCGTAATTAGTAATATAATATTATTATACACTAATCTTAATTAAAATTGATTACAAACAAAAATATAGTATATGCTAATTTTATAAATTTATAAGCATAGTTTATATTATATTAAAATAGAAATAATAAATGAATTACATAGACTTACCTTTTAAAAAGATTAAACATTCGTAAATTATGCAATAAATTTTATAGAAAATAAAATTGCTAATATATATTAAATTTTTATAATTAAAAAATGAAAGATTTCCCGCACGAATGTGCGGATTCAAAATCTAGTAATAATTTAACTTACAAGTTCATATTTGATACGAGCCGCCGATATAGACCATATGGTTGATTTAATACGATAGACCAAACTGTAATAAAAACTCATAGCTATAGCCTATATACATGTCGAATTTTATTAGCTAGCATCATTTAACTCCATACGTAGAGAAATATATTTTCATCTATCAGATAATCCATATCAATCACGGGGCTACGTCTCTGTATCAAACTCTTCAACACTACAATATTGTGACATTATTAATTAGGGAAATATGGTTCTATGGCCTTACAAAAAATATAAATTTATTCAGTAGCTAAAATCACTCTCTCTCTTTTACTTTTTCTTCCTATCTCTCCCTAACTTCTGTCTAAAAATCTAATTTCTTTTTTTTTCTTGACTATTTCACGAAAAACATAAATTTACTCAGTAACTAAAATCACTCCATTTTTCTTACTTTTCCTTTCTGTCTCTCTCTAACTTCTGTCTAAAAATCTAATTTCTTCTTTTTTCTTGACTATTTCACAAATTATCGATTTCTCGTTCCCTATATTATCCATAAACAAAAAGTATGTGGCTTTTGGTACAAAAGAGCAGTCAAGTGAACCAACTCGGCTCAAACGAGTCGCAAAGTGTTGACCACACACACACACAAACACACGTGGTTCAAGACAAATGGATAAGGGCAGTGACATCAAGTGGGTACATGCCACGGTCCGTATCTGAGCAACGTTGTTACGATGTGCTCCGCAAATGAGTCAAAATAAAACACAACTTGCATTATCTTCTCAGTTACACAATAAAAGCGACTTCTGCGTAAACATTATATTAACATGTGTATTTTCATCGGAAATTGATAGACTCGGGCGGTATCTGTCGTCGTTTTGTTGAAAAGATCTATACATTTTCATTTTTTTACAAAGATCTTATAATATTCTGAGAACAGTTTTAAACGTAGTCTGACCCTAATGAATAGTCGCTGCCTCTGGCCTGGCCTGGCCGGTCCAGCATTAATTCCTTGGGATGAGGTGTATATTGTCAGGTGGATATACTAAAAAAAGATTCCAATTTGTGGATTCGAGATACCTGAGTACCGCCCATGTGCTATAAAAACCACTAAACCAGACTCCTGACTTGACTTAATCCATAAGATATCCAATTTGATTAGCAATGCAAATATGTCATCCCACACGGTTATAAAATACTATCAAAAAGGTGAAGTAAAGATCTATAATAGATGAATCGGTGATTTATCCCCTATATATTATTTGAGAAGTATTACAACATTCTTTGGTAGTCACGTGTCAACATGAGAATGTTTCTCAAATTTACTAGAGAAAAATGTTGGTCCATATAAACATATAATATACTTTTTATTAGCCTAAACATAAAACTATTATTAATGCTATTCATTATTTCCTTAAATAAAATTTACAGAATTACCTAATATGGTTACAATATATATATGACAATTAATAATTTGAATATGAAGATTTGATAAAAAAAATTATAGCATCTACTATTTTTGTTAAATTTAATTATAAAAATAAATTAAACAATAACTTTAACTATATAACAAAAAAATAGATTTTTACATATGTTATATTTAAATTTTTTAAAAATGACTATAAATTAATAAAGCATTGAAAAATTTCAATTATAATATTTTTGATTAATAGTTTAAATCTCCTATATGTCGGAGCATTATAACATTTTTTGGTAGCCACGTGTCATAATGAGAATGATTTTCATAACTCTTAGAGAAATATGTTGGTCCAACTAAACATACGTTTATCTTTATTATACCAACTATCATATTTAATTAGTAGTGTACAAAAGAAGATTTTTTATTCTTTCCTTAAATAAAAGTTACGGAATTACCTAATATGAATAACATATATATCACAATTAATGTTTATGAACAATAAATATTTGATAACAATTTTTTATACTCTTTATGTTTTATTTAATTTATATTATTAAAAGAAATTAAAAAATCACATTAATTATATAATAAAATTTTTTATATTTGTTCTTATACGTTATATTTTAAATTTTTTAAAACGACCATAAATGACTTAAGATGGTAAAAATCTCACACTGAAATTTTCTGATCAATGGTAACGATTTTACTTCAGCCAAACGTTTTCTAATGAGTCTTAAACAGTTCATAATGATTAACTAAATGGATCACCCATAATAGAGTGTGTTTTGTTTAATTTTTTTGCATACCCAAATCAATATGAACCATCATCCATTTCGTTTTAATTTTTGGTATAATAAAAAAAATATATGGTTGGACAAAAAAAAAACTAAATCCAAATAACCGAACCAAATATAACCCAAAAATGAATACAAATTTTTAAGCAAAATTCGTTAGATATCCAAGAGAATTCGAAATTTTGGTATCTAGATAATCAAAACTGAATCGAAAAATTTCGAGTATCCGAGTGTACTCGAACCAGATTTATATTCTTAAATATATTAATTATTTTTAAATTTAACATCTAAGAATATACAAAACACATGAAATGTTTTAAAAAATTCTAAAATACTTAGAAATATGTAAAATAGTTAAATGCAAAGTTGTAAAATAGCCAAATGATACTCTAAATACCAAAAATATTTGAAATATTTATTATTTTTTGTCCAAATATTTATGATAAATCAATTTTAAGTATTTTGTCATTCATTTTTCAAATTTATGTTATCTATTATTTCTACTTTTAGGTTTTGAAAAAATTAAAGTATATATGAATTTTAATCTTTTTTATAAAATTAAATGGGTTATGCGAACATAAACTCAATCTGAACCTGTAAAAATTCAAACCAAACCGCAATGATCTAAACCAAACATAATCTAACCGAAACAAATAGTACCCAAATGTCCATATTAATAACAAAATATATATATTTAAATACAACATATTTTTAAAAAGCTCACTCCGCGCATGGCGCGGGTTATCATCTAGTATATGTATATTTTACTGGCATTCCTATAAGACACGCGATTCAAGTAAGGTAAAATATTTTTAAAGACGCGTATAGAACAACGTTATACGTTTTCTTGTACATTTGGGTTTCGTTATATGATTTGTGATGCTAATAGTTTGATTAACTACTATTTATAGTTTCGTAACAAGATTTGATTCAATATTTTAATGTGATTTTTTTACCACTCTTTGACACAACCATGATTTTCCATATTTCATATTTTCAATAATTACACTTTCTCATTTTCATTTTATTAAAATTTTGAGAGTATTCTAAACTCATGAAAAAACATAAACTAATATTTAAAAAGTTAGTACAGTCTACGGATACATTTTTTCTCCGAATATTCAAATGAACCGTAAGATAAATTCATAACGTATTACCATAAAATAAAATATAGTAGACTGTTTTGGAACCTAGATTGTTTAGCAATCCCAAAATTCACCATCATTTTGTTTTTAAATTCTCCATTTCATCTTTTAACATTTACCCCAAAAAGTATTCTATTATATAATGAAATTTTCTTTACCTTATATCAAAATACAATTATATTTAGTTTTATAGAAAACTTTTTTTTTGTTCAACTTTAGTGGTGAAAAAATCAGGTATTTTATTGCTGAGATAATATATGAAACGTTAAAATTGTTTATGAGTTGTCTCTGAGTCAGCAACAAGACAGAAGACGAAAAATATCATGATTTTTCTACTCACTTTTCCACATCTCCTTGCATTATAGAACACGTGGCAACATCTTAACGGCTATTTTCCACATCTCCTCGCATATATAAACCCTCTTCTCCGCCATCTTTCTTTCACCAAACCACCGTTTCGATTCTTTGAACACAACAGAGAATCTTTTTCTTCATTTGACGGGAAGCCACCACATCTGTGGCGGCGTTTCCGTGTTCTTTACGTTATCTCTTTATCTTCCACATAAAACCACATTTTATCTTCTTCATAGACAAGTTCTTATCTCTCCTTCCCCTGCTTTATCTCTCTCTCTCTGTCTGTATAAGCAAACCGGTAAGCACTACCGGTTTATTCTCATTTTGATTTGAAACCTCCTTTGCTTGAGCTCTCGGTTTAGTTATATGCAAAGTCTTGTTCTCTAGGCTTCTTACCTGTTTAGTTTAGTTTGGTTTTTGTGTGAACACTCAGATTAATGTTTTAAATCTTTTGGGAAGATATCTTTATTCTAAAGTTAGGTTTATTTGTTTTTGATCAGACAAGATGACGATTACATCAAGTATCTCTGTCCAAAACGACAACCTTGTTGTCCAAGGGAAGACTATCCTCACCAAAATCCCTGACAACATTATCCTTACTCCGGTCACCGGTTCTGAGTTAGTCTCCGGCGCTTTTATTGGCGCAACTTTTGAACAAAGCAAGAGTCTTCATGTGTTCCCCATCGGTGTCTTGGAGTAAGTACAAAACTATTTTAGTTTCCCCTTCTATGAGTTGACCCTGAAATATTGGGAGATCTTAATTTTTTTGTCATAAATTAAATGTCGTTTTAGAGTAGAGATTAGAGTTGCGAGGCAAAATTTATTAGTTTTATATAATATTTTATTTTTCAAAATTGGTCGGAAAGTGGTTAGCTGTATAGTTAATTGTTTTTTTTTAAATGTAAATTAAATGTTTTCATAAACTAAAATGACAATTAAAGGTAATTTTTAAGCTAAATTTGAGGTTTATGTTTATGTACTTTTTTTCAAAACTATATATTAATGTTTCATTTTTCATTTTGCTATGCCCTTTGACTATAAGGTCTTTTTGATGGTTGTTAAAAGATTATGGTTTGTGAATTATTTCAGGGGTCTTCGGTTTATGTGTTGTTTCCGGTTTAAACTATGGTGGATGACACAGAGAATGGGAACCTGTGGGAAAGACATTCCTTTAGAGACACAGTTCATGTTATTGGAGAGTAAAGATGAGGTTAATGGTGATGATGCTCCTACTGTTTATACTGTCTTTCTACCTCTACTTGAAGGCCAGTTCAGAGCTGTTCTGCAAGGAAATGAGAAGAATGAGATTGAGATTTGTCTTGAGAGTGGTAAGTCAACTAGTTTTCCATGTGTTGGATAGATAGTTGTAGAGCCAAGAAGCTGATGTTTTTGTTTTGGCAGGTGATAAGGAGGTGGAAACTAGTCAGGGAACACACCTTGTTTATGTTCATGCTGGGACTAATCCCTTTGAAGTTATCACGCAATCCGTAAAGTATGTTTTAGAGGATAGCCAAAATTTGATGTTGATGAATATTTAAGGTTATGTGTGTATGCTAAGACGTGGTAATCTTTGGCTATGTACAGGGCTGCAGAGAGACACATGCAGACATTTCATCATCGTGAGAAGAAGAAGGTTAGTAAACATTCTAAGGTTCTAGTAACAGAGAAAGTGTTCACTTTGATTTGAATATGATCTTCTCATGTTCCGTCTTCTTTGTTTGTATAGCTACCTTCTTTTGTAGACTGGTTTGGCTGGTGTACATGGGACGCGTTCTACACAGATGTGACTGCAGAGGGTGTTGATGAGGGTCTTAGAAGGTATGCAAAAGCATAGCAACTTATTGTTAATTTGCTCTGTAATTAAGTTAATGGAGTCTCTGATGGCGTCTTGGTTTATTTTTTGCAGTCTTTCAGAAGGAGGTACACCTCCTAGGTTTCTGATCATAGATGATGGTTGGCAACAAATAGAAAACAAAGAGAAAGATTCAAACTGCGTTGTCCAAGAAGGAGCACAGTAAGTTTCTCTTACTCTTTTGTCTTTATGCAAATGATCATCTTATAGTGTTATGTAGCCATAATTGTCTGGTAGAATTACAGAGCAATAATGTTAGTATATATCCACCAATTTGCTTAATTTATTTCCTTTTGTATATCTGATTTTTATAATTCAGCAAATAATCTATACTATTAAAAGGGAAGTACAAATAGAAAATATCCCTTAGTTTTCCACAAAAATTACAATCTTATACCATTGGAGTTAAAACATTTAATTTCAAATGGGCTTAATGAAAATTTAAAATCCACTAATTTTAAATTAAAACCAAATTGCCTAAAATCAAATTACCCACCTCAATTTAACAAAAAGGCTTTTGTTAATAAATTATTAGAGATTTTATTATTTTGTAAATGTCTATTTTTTTATTTTCACTGTCTAAATAATTTTTTTTTTTTTAAAATATCTATAAAATCTAATTTAAAATAATAATATCAATCACAAAATTTATAATATAGTTTAATAAAACACACAATTTAAACAAGATACTATAATATTTTACACTTAATTGTTTAGTTTACCAAATAAAAAATACAATCTATAAAAATACAATCTGATAGTTAAAAAAAACATAAAACAAAATGAACAAGATATACTGACATTAAAATTCAATAATCTATGAAATATAAAATATGATTTTTTTTACAATTAACACAAACATATAATTATACATAGAACATACATCCGCGCGGACGCGCGGGTCAAAAGCTAGTTTTATAAATTAAATCTAAAAACTAAAAACATCTAACATTAATGTAAATGATACAAAAATAAATCAATTATTTATTGGGTGTGGTAGACACTAAGTGTTTCTGCCTATAACAGGTTTGCTACTAGGCTAGTTGGTATCAAGGAGAATGCAAAATTCCAGAAAAATGATCCTAAGGACACGCAAGTATCAGGGCTTAAGAGTGTTGTTGATAATGCAAAGCAGCGTCATAATGTCAAGTATGTCCTCTCTCTCTAATTTCCAACACTTTGATTTTCACTAGTGACAATAAGATCATTATACTAATAAGCCTCTTTGGACTCCTTTTTATTTACAGGCAAGTTTACGCGTGGCACGCTTTAGCTGGCTACTGGGGTGGAGTGAAACCCGCTGCTTCCGGTATGGAACACTACGACAGTGCATTAGCATATCCAGTCCAGTCCCCAGGTGTCTTAGGGAACCAACCAGATATAGTCATGGACAGCCTCGCGGTTCATGGTCTTGGTCTTGTCAACCCTAAGAAAGTGTACAACTTCTACAACGAGCTGCACTCCTACTTAGCCTCTTGTGGTATAGATGGAGTCAAAGTTGATGTGCAGAACATCATTGAAACTCTTGGTGCTGGTCTTGGTGGGAGAGTGTCTCTAACACGCAGCTACCACCAGGCCTTAGAAGCTTCCATTGCTAGGAACTTTAAAGATAATGGGTGCATTTCTTGCATGTGTCACAACACGGATGGGTTGTATAGTGCGAAACAGACTGCTATTGTTAGAGCGTCTGATGATTACTATCCTAGAGATCCTGCTTCTCACACTATACACATAGCATCAGTTGCTTATAATACTCTTTTCCTTGGAGAGTTTATGCAACCTGACTGGGATATGTTCCATGTAAGTAAAGAAATGCTTTTCTGTCTTTATAACATAGAGTTCATGCAATCCGGGACAATGTGGTCGAGTGTAATGTGGTCGAGTGGTAAGGGGAAGGAGCTGGGACACTAACACGTTTCAGTTTCGATCCGCGAAACTAACTCATATTGTTCCCGGACACCTACACGGATATATTGTTCCCGGACACCTACACGGATATAGATTCATGCTGTGGATGAAACTAATATTGCATGCTGTGGTTTCGTTCCTAGGGAACCCCAACCTCCTAGTATTTTTTTGAAAATGCTTATATTTAATGTTTTGTGCTTATATTTAATGTTTTGTTGTTATCAGAGTTTACACCCAACTGCAGAGTACCATGCTGCAGCACGTGCAGTAGGTGGATGTGCAATCTATGTCAGGTAAAAAGCTTTTTAGTGTCATTCTTGTTTCTGATTAGGTTATGTTTGATCCAAGGTTTTAACTGGAGATGTATTTTGTCAAATTACATGAGCAGTGATAAGCCAGGCAACCACAACTTTGATCTATTGAGGAAGCTGGTTCTTCCTGATGGTTCTGTACTTCGTGCTAGGCTTCCTGGTAGGCCAACACGTGACTGCTTATTCGCTGATCCAGCTAGAGATGGAATCAGGTTTGCCTATTCTCCACTTCTTCTTCTCTTTGTTTTGCACTTTAAAGACTACCACTAACCTAAAATGTATTTTTTTTCCAGCTTGCTTAAGATTTGGAATATGAATAAGTTTACTGGTATAGTTGGTGTATTCAACTGTCAAGGTGCTGGTTGGTGCAAGGACATAAAGAAGAACAGGATTCATGATAATTCTCCTGGTACACTCACTGGTTTGGTCCGTGCGGAGGATGCTGATCTTATCTCTGAAGTGGCTGGTCCTGATTGGAGTGGAGATTCAATAGTCTACGCTTACAAATCAGGTAAAAAAAAAAAATTCACAGACAAGACAAAAGCTCAAACATTACAAGATCAATGCTTATAAACATGAGCTTGGTTTTGGTTCACAGGGGAGCTGGTTAGACTACCAAAGGGTGCCTCCATCCCTCTCACTCTCAAAGTCCTTGAATATGAACTCTTCCACATCTCTCCTTTGAAGGTAAATATAGTACTTCTGAAAAAAGAAAAAAAAAAAATATATATATATTCAAGGCCACCAGGGTTTTAATATAGTCGGACAAAACATTCGCTTTGGTTCCCAAAATTTAAAGAACTATTATACTCATGTTGCATAGCTTATTTTAGAATTTATTTTATTGAGATTAGAATGTTTATGGTCCTCTAAATTTCAGATTTGTCACTGAGTTATTACTATAGACTTTGATTGCTAGTTAATATGCATTAAAATTTGGCTAAACAGGAAATCACTGCAAGCATCTCGTTCGCACCTATTGGACTCTTGGACATGTTCAACTCAAGTGGGGCTATTCAGTCTATGGATATCAATACCGTGACAGACCAAAAACCTGAGGTCACTTCTTCTTCAGTGGTCAGCGAAAACCGTTCTCCAACAGCTCTGATCTCTCTCAGCATTAGAGGTTGTGGTCGTTTTGGAGCTTTCTCTTCTCAGCGTCCACTAAGATGTGCCGTTGATAGCACCGAGACTGAGTTCAACTACGATGCAGAGGTTGGACTTGTGACGTTGAATCTGCCTTGGACGAAGGAAGAAATGTTCAGATGGCATGTTGAGATTCTGGTGTAAGCGAGAGAAGCCTTGGTGTACTTGTTGGCTCGGGTTATTATTCTTTTACTACCATTTTGTTATTCAGCATGTTGTATTGTTGTTATAGATGTTTTGTAGTAGTGGACTAGTAGTATCTTCGCTTGTAATAAATGTAATCTTGTTCTGTCCTTGTAGTTCTTTTGGTTCAAGATGAAATGGTCACAAATAATTAGTTTTAGAATTGTTGATGCGCTTTTTACAAACCTAAAATGTTCATGCACTACATCATAATCTCGTAAGATCTCGTCTACTCATCTATGTTGGGATAAAATAGCTATTCAAAATCAATGATATGCATGCTACATATATATAGTGCAATCATGGGCGGATCTACGGAAATGTGAAATTGAATTTCTAAAAAATTTAGATATCAAAAGAAAAATGATATATTATAACTGAAATTTATATATTTTTTTAAAAATTAATATTTTTTTGAAAATCCTGTTTAATAATAAAAAAATATATTTAAATTATATTTTTTAAAATAGTTTATATTTCATTATTATATTATTTAATCATAGTTGAACTTGAATATACTTATTTTAGTGATGAATGATTTATTACCATATTCTAATTTTTTTTACCAAAAACAAAAATCATTATTAAATATAGTTATCCATGTCACATTTAACCATAAGACATGTCATCATTTCTAATACACCATATCATCATTTTTAGTGACTTATATGTATGATGACACATGTCAAAATAACTTCACAAATAATGTCTAGAGGATTATTAATGAGATTTTTTTTGTTTCTTTATTAGTCTTTTCATCGACAATTCTAAAATTTATATTTCATCTTTAGATTTCAATTTATTTTGGAGCACATTTTTAAGTCTTATCTATCTATTAATAATAACAATTTCAATTAATTTTAAAGGTTGTGAATCTCATCTAAGTGAAAGGTTATGTTTTTGTATTGCAAAGAAAAATTAAATTTTAAAAATACCTGAGATGTCTATTTATAATGAAACTGTTTTTTGAAATCGTTCATCTATTTAAATTGTAGTTATTTTTAAAAAGAGTTAATCTTTATACAATAAACTAGTGGTTATTCCGCGCTACGCGCGGATGTATGTTTATTATGTAACTAAATGATTGGTATGTGATGCTAATATTAGAAGTAAGTATTCAGATTTTGTGGTACTGAAATGGTAGTTAGTTTTGAGGTTTACTTTACAAATATTTATCGGATAGTTTTAGTTATGTACAGAATAGTCAAGTGTTTATGAGAAAGCGGAGAGTATGTTGATTTTGATTTGAGGTGAATGTTTAGCATTATTTTAAATTATTATTTGTTTGTAAGGTAATTGTATTATTTGTGAATTTGTGTGGTCTGAATTTTTTTTTATAATAAAAACAGAATGGATTGTAAATAGAAAATGCATTTTCAGGGATTGCATTTGTTTGGGATTGGGAATATAGAAAATAAAAACACTTGAAAATATTTATATTTTGTTTAATTTTTGGGTTTATTTGAGCGGAACGGCGAAATTTTATTATAATATGGTTTGTTTAAATTCTAAACTCTTGATATCATCGTTGCTGAATATATATATTCACTGTTTTCTTTCTTTTGATGCTCTTGGAAGTTGATTGCTTATCAGCTATATTTTTACAATTTCTTTTGAACTCCAAGCGAAACTTTGAAGTCCCATACATCTTGAATGATGATTGGTGCCAAGTACAACTCTCTCTTTCCAGCTTGAAATCATTTGTTTCCTTTCCTTTCTCTTTAAGTTCTTCCTGAAACTCGCATGCCTGTTATCCAACATAACCATTGTAGCTAGGAGATCCTCATCTGTCTAAACAGAACCTTGCTTTTGACTTCAGCTAAACTCTCGCACTAACTTACGTTGTATCCAGGCTCGTCTTAGTAAATTATGGACCTTGGACTCAGATATCTTTTCGCTCCAAAATTATAGCTATATTTTTGTGAATTCACAAATGAGGACTCTTTATAATTTTTATAAATTTGGACCCTAATTTCTTAAAGGATTTTTACAAAAAAAAAAAAGAGGCCCTATGCATGTACACCTTGGGCACACCCGAGCCGCACTGCTTGTATCACGACTTGGTTCTGAACTATCAAGTACAAACACATTAGAAGTTTTCTCCTCATTATGTACTCATTCTCTAGATATAGTAGATCCATAGGCAAAGTAAATCATCATTTGATTTAATATTTCTTTATTGTAGGAGTTTAAGAACCCGTTGATTAAAGATACATTTAACTACCCCCATTTATTCACCAAACGTCAGGAGAAAATATCCAACGCCAAGAAAAAGCTTAAGATTTGCTAGGAAATAGTGACCTACAATGAAGATAATGATAGACGGGAAATAGGTTAAAAAGAAGAAGGCATCAGGGCCGATTTAGAGGGAAAACCTTCGAAGCTACCGACCATGACATCCTAATTAAAGGGGGATATTTTTCAAAAAAAATAAAATTGGTAGTACTTATAAACATGTAGAGTTGGTAAGCCAAGGGGATGTTATTCAACCACAGAATTAAAGTTAATTCTATAGGTCTTGTACTCTATTGTCATTCAATGATTTATTTTAAATCTTCTATTAAAATTTATTGTTATTGGTTATTGTATTTAAAATGTCATTGTTAAAAAAAAATTAAAATCTAGTATTATTGAGTCTTACATGTATAATCTATTCATTAGAAGATTTTGAAGTCTATTGTTATTCAACTAAAAATTTGAATACAACATTTAAAATCTTGTGTTGTTCATATTTGAAAGATTTTACATTACATTTGATTTGAATACTTTGAATCTAATTTCATGTGTGAGCTATATAAATTCCAATCTAGTCTTGTAGCTTCAAATTTTATCATCACTTTTAGTAGCAATCATCGTCACATATTTTTTTTGCTTAAATTTGGATCATCGTCACATTATTGATATTAATTTTTTGCAACTATGCACATCATATTTAAAAATGTAAAACCCCAGATTCGTTTAGTAATAAGAGAAAAAATTTCTTCCTTTTGACCAAAACTAAAATTCTCTTATATCAATTCGATAAATATGGGCATATTTTTAAATTTGGCTAGGGACAGTATAAAACATTATACCGGCACTGGAAGGCATCAGTGGTAACTAAATTACAATACCAGACATAGTAGTCGAAGGTAATGTCAGTCGGTGCGTGCTCCTTTTATAGATTAATACTGTATATACAGCGTTAACAAATGGATACTAATAATCACAGTAATCTGGGGCTCTCTTAACCAACATGTAGAGTATGATTTCTCAAAAAATTAGGAAGACGCGAACGTATTGGTACATACGTTATGATCTTTTGTTAGAATGAGAGAAAAAAAAAAGAAATAGAAGTAGAAAAATATTAGAATAGGTGAGCTTGTTTTGTTCAATTTGGTATTTTGGATGGTATTCACTTAGTTATAATGATGTTGTATTGGTCTTATTTGTTTCCTCTCATTGTTTAGGACTTTGTCTATCAGCTTATTTCTTCAGAAGTTTAATGGTTAGTGTATTATTTAACTTGTTGCGATTATCATATTCTTAAAGTTATACTTTATTTTTGGTGGGTTGTTTCATTTCTGATAACTGTTTTTTCTTAGCCTCTTGAGAATGATTATATGTTACATTGGTTGCGTTTGATCTTAACATTTCTTATCAAGGAAAACATATACAGTACATCATACGACAAAGTAAATTATTTTGTTAAATTTATCTGAAATACATACACTGATATATTACATGATTTCCAAAAGGAAGTGACAGTTCAGAAAGTAAAGAAAACATGGGAAACCGAAACCAAACCAACCTGAGTGAGTTTATTACATCACGATTTTCATCACGTCAGTAGAGCTAAACCAAGAGTAAATTGACGGCACAGCATTTCAAGGTACGATTGTAATGATAGGCTGCAAACTTCTTACTCTTCAGTAGCTTGGTGAGCTTTCTTTATCAGGAAACATTTCAGTCCATCCTCAACTCTTGATGATGTGGTCTTATGGCTTGCAGACGTTGCAAGGATTAAAACCCATTCTGATGCTCATTATTGAGTGAGTTAATATTTTCTATGGAGGGAGAAAAATGCACGTCTTCATTCCTCTGTTCTAAAACCGGCACATGTTCTTGTTAAGGAAGTTCAATTGCAAATCAGGACTCGCCTTAGATAACGAAGTTGCTTGTAAGAGGCTGAATTTGGACTGTGGAATACCATCACATCGTCACTCACCTACAACCTTCTTCTCACCGTGGTTTGATCTGTTTAATTGTGATTTATTATTAACCTCATCTTATCTTCTAGCTTCTGCTTCACAAACGTTGCTTACTTCTTTTACTATTTCTATCTTGATCCAAGTTGTAACAATGTCTCTGATGAGAAGATAAATAAGAGAAAAGTATTTTTTTAAAAATCAAATAAGAAAATTGGGATCTTGCAAGTTTTAACTCTCCAAGTATATCATGCTTCCAGTTTTGTGAATAATACGGTTAAAACTTGTTTAACAGTTAAATATATAGAAGATTGAAAGCATACCTGGTAGGTGCCTATTGGTACTTGCAATATATAAACGGAGTGGACCAGCCTGTGGTGGAGAGTTCAGAATGTAGGTGTTAAGCTCAGCTAGAGTAACAGTTTCACACCTCGGTCCAGCCAACCGACAAACAGTTTGTTTTTTTGAGCACCAGGTTTAATAATTGATTTAACTGCAATTTGAGTTTCAAATGTCTTACGCTTCCTAGCATACTCTCAGTGGCTAGGCGTTTGTTGTCAACATTGAAGTGTGTACCCGAGGTTACATTGAGGAAAAGGCACCCCGAGTTCACACATGAAGCAAAAAATGTAAATGGTTTGATGAGGTTGTTCAAAATAAATATGGTATACAAACACTACTGACCTCCAGCCACTTTTGGGTTAACGTAGGTGGCAACCATGACTTTAGGCTCCAACACCGCAAACTCTAACTTCTTCTGGAGGTTATTTGCAACCTTATCAAAGACAATAACACATACCATTGTCACACTGGATATCTCTGTGTGAGTTTTTATTAAGTAAAAAATAACATTGAAAAAGTAATCAAACGACAACAACAAAAGAATAGGTCGTGGGTTACGTACCGGCCAACTTGAATTCTAAGCATTATACGCTGGCTTTGTTTGATTTTAGCGTT